AAAGACAGCTTGATGGCCATTTTGAATTTTACTGCTATAATGGATTTTTTTTTTGGGATGGCTCCATATACAAAAAAAAAAATCATTATGAGCATCATAACATTCACTATACAAAGTTTCATGCTTTTACCATTATATGTGATCAAGTATACCTATATATTGGACTTAGCCGCTGGACTAACAGACATGTATATGTTACAGACATTTTCTAAAGTCAGGCATTTTGGAAAATGACTGAATTTTCAGGCAATTTATAATTTCCTAAGCTTGACAGGCATTATATAAAAGGACTTAAAATACCTAGTCATGTTGTAAAATGACTGAAATTTTGAAACAAAATTTAACAAATTGCCTGTCCAGTTTCAGGTAATTTATTAGAAAAGGATAATTATCATTGAGATGCATATGACCAAAAACACAATATCTTGCAAAGAAAATAAGTAATGGTTTGGTAAAAATGAGTTTATTCTTCAAACATAAACAGGGAAAGTTTGTTTTCTTTTTAGTGAAACTACGTTAAGAATGTACTCACTCTGTATTTCGGATAGTAATTTCATGATCTTCTTGTCATGATGGCAGGACAAATTGTTCTTACAATAGAATACAAACGAATGTGTAGAAAATCTAGATGCAAAACAGAAGTGTGTAATATGAAGCAGAGAAAACTAGACAAAGTAATGTCACCGCACTCCACGCTGAAGTAACTGTATTATAACAAAGTCAATGTAGGACTCTCTTTGAAATACTATTGTGTCTGGGAGACACACACGATGCCCCGCAGATGCAAAGTGTTATAATAAATACTCAAGGTTGAGCATGGGAGCACATAGGTCTATGGTTCACTGTAGGAGGAGTTATCCGGAAACGCTATGCACCTCTTATGCAAGTATATACTCCCCAAAAATGACAAAGTTCAACTATCTCACAAAAGAGCAAATATAAAAATAAAAATCAAAACCCTGACCACATGCACACCTTCAATATATGTACAAACAGCCAGCAAAGTGAAAACTTCCTAGCATTCAAACAGTAGGAGGAGTTATCTGGAATAACTATTATACCCATAATGGGACGGACGGACGGACAGGGGTAAAACAATATGCTCCCAACTTTCAGTTGCGGAGGCATAAACAGCATGTTTAAATTGACTGATTGTTGTTTGTTTGCCTTCAGTAGGAAATATGTCATGCATATTTAGGACGAGAACAAATTGATAATAAATCAAACAGGTAAGTTCTGCAATGAATCGACTCGGATAAATGTCAGGAATTTTGACTGCCGCTTGAAATGAAGGTATGTTGGATGGGGAAAGAAAAATTGCCTCGAATTTATATATCCTGCACAGCAAAACAGATTCCCCGCTATATGTAGCATGGGAACGCATGAAAACGAAGATATTAATGTGTGTGATGGTTCGGATTTCACAAAAAGTGCTAAGACCAAATTTTACGCCAAACGGTGTATTTAAAAAAAAATCAGGACAAATGTGCAACAAGTCCTGCCATCCAGACATTTTATGAAATAACAAATAATTGCCGAGTTCAGTGCTTGTGGGAATTTTAGATAATTCAGTAGAATTTATTTTTAATTGATAAAACTCTTAAAATGCAAACTTTAAAATTCATTACTGTAATTATCATAGATGAAACTATACCAATCCAGACACAGTCAAATATGTAATGATATTTAAAATATATAGATCAGCTTTTCTGGTGTTAAGATCTAGCACCGCAAAAACATGTCACGTCTATCACTTGGTAATTTGAGACTCACGTGCAAGTTCTATAATATATATATGTAGTGTAGTCACTGGTAATGATGATTGTACAACCTATGTATGTCAATTTCAGCCAATTTCCCCCTTTACCTGCTAGGGGATTTTTTTTTGCGTTATGAGATACCCTTATTTGTGTATATATGTAGAAAATAAAAATAAAATAAAAAATGTATTAAATTAAAAAAAAAAAAAACATTACCAAATATCTGTAAAATGTCAATCCATCAAATTGATGTTTCTTTTACAGGTTTCAACTCTTTCGACATGTTCTTGGTCCAAGAAAATACTAACTTCAGTAATAGTCCATCAAACAAATTTTGGTCCTGCTTTTAAGAAATGTGGAAGATCAAATTGACATGCAATGTGACCGAGGGTATGTTACTACTGCTAAATGTGTAATAAGGGCTAGAAAGTACAAAGGGGGCAATCATAAACCATAATCCGAAAAAAAATCTAATTTTCATTTCCTTTGGCCAGACATATCATGTACAATATTCAATATGCCAAAGGAAATGAATATTAGATTTTTGTATTATATGTCTCTGCTTTGGCATGGCATTTTTGCAACAAAAATAATGCCACTAAATTAGAAACAAGAGTGCACATTCTGAAATGTTTCGCCTGCTTTACTTATCTTGATTTAATTTCATACCATACATTAAATATAGTTAGCCTATTGCTTAGAGTATCTGAGAAACAGACCTGATTATGAAAATCGATCATTAATTAATGAAACATAAAAATGAGGTCAAGGTCAGATGAACCCTGCTAGACAACAAGAACACCATGCAATAATTCCATACACCAAATATAGTTGACCTATTACATATAGTATCCAATAAATGTATGAAACCATGAAAACTTAACATTGACAAATGATTTATGAAAATGAGGTCTAGGTCAGATGAAATCTACCAGACAGACATGTACACCTTACAATCATTCCATTCATTAAATACAGTGGCCCAATTGCTTATAGAATCTGAGAAATAGACTAAACTGGAAAATCTTAACATTGTCCAATGAACCATAAAAAAAAGGTCAATAGAAATAAGAAGATGTGGTATGAGTGCCAACGAGACAACTCTCCGTCCAAGTCACAATGTGTAAAAGTAAACGATTATAGGTCAAAGTACGGCCTTCAACACGGAGCCTTGGCTCACACCGAACAACAAGCTAGCTATAAAGGGCCCCAAAATGACTAGTGTAAAACAATTCAAGGCCGGATGAAACCTGTCAGACAGACATGTACATCTTACAATCATTCCATATACCACATACAGCTGATACATTGCTAATTGTATCTGAGAAACCGACCAAACCACTAAAACGTAACATTGACCATTGAACCATGAAAATGAGGTCAAGGTCAGATAAACCACACAACAAATATAGTTGACCTATTGCTTACAGTATCCGAGATAGGGACTTGATCACGTAAACTTAACATTGATCACTGATCCATGAAATGAGGTTGAAGTCAGGTGAACCCTGTTTAATGGACAGGAAGACCTTGCAAGGATCACATATACCAAATAGTTTTATCCTATTACTCATAATAAGTGAGTATTTCACATGACAAATAAACTACAATTTTTTTTTCAAGCAGTCGCTGAACCATGAAAATGAGGTCAAGGTCAATGAACATATGGAAAATATATGGTAAGATAAGGCATCTGCATACAAGGTATGATGCATCCAAGTCTTCTACCTTCTGAAATATGAAGCTTTATACAAATACTAGTAGTTTATGCTGCCAGACACCAGATTGTAAATCCTATATCTCGCAATTTGTAACTGTTGCGACAAAAATTGAGGAAACAGCTTTATGATTGATTGATTGATTGGTGTTTAATGACACTTTAAGCACTATTGTCGGTAGGAAAACTGACAATCCTAGTCAATTAAGATTGGAGTCAGTCAATTAAGATTGGAGTCGAGCGGGATTCGTACTCACAACCTTAGTGTTGACAGGCTAGTGATACAGTAAATTGACTACTTAGACCACTCGGCCACCTAGGCCCTGCTTTATGATTCATATATGAAGACTAGGTCGGTAGCACAGGAGCTTGGGGAATGGACACCCCTTTTCCTATATTTCTATATTTTTTTTGGTGTTTTAATTTTTTAAAATAAATATTTGTTAATATTTAAATTTATTTAGTGTGTTCTTGCTCTAATCCATATGATATTACAATAACTGTAGCTTATTTATGATGTGTGTTTCCTGTGAATTTAGTAGTATATCAGGACTGGTGATTCTGGAACATATTTTTCACTGCATATAAAACATGCTTTTTACCCAGAAGTTTTGGAGAGTACTTTATTGAACAAATAAAAAATCACATCACTAACCCTTAGCTGAAATAAGATGAGGCTGTTTAGATATATTTAAACTGAACAGGTTTCAAGATAAACCTTCTTGAGACTAGACTAAAATGGAAATCAGATTATCAACTTATCAGATAAAAAGGTAACGATAAGCAGACAGGCATTTACCAACCAGCCTTTACTTATAGTAGGTTTTAAGCACATTGATGATCTAAAGTACCAGCTGCAAGTCACAATATGAAGCTTTTCGTCAAGTGAGCACAGTGTACAAACTGAAAAAAGCTTCACATTATGTTGAGCAGCTGATTTGATACTTCACAACATCAATATAATGAAAATCTGATAATCAATTTTTTCTGAAAGAAATAATAGTATTTCTTTGTTTTCAAACAAGAGAACTTGATAAGTTGGGGTCAAACTTATCAACTTCTTGTCAAACTTTTTGCTGTCAGTAATATTTGTGCCAAGCATATTTGAAGTCACAAAGCCCTATACACAATTTTATGGAGAGCTGAGCTGAGTGATACAGAAACAGGGTAATACATGTAGTTCAAAAGACTTAATAGGTGGATCACCAAAATATCTGTTCTCACAATTTTAAATGGTTAATTATCACACAATCTGTTTTTCAGTGATTTTAAAAGAGTTAAAAATAAACTTTGATCTCATCTTCAAGTGAGAAAGTGTATTTCATTAATGTACATCTCTGCAACACTCAAAAACAAGCGTCTTGTTTTTTTCTCATAGTGTGGGTGAATGCATGCATTTTGTATTGATAATTAGTACAAGGCATATAATGGTTTACTTTTACAAATTGTGACTTGGATGAAGAGTTGTCTCATTGGCACTCATACCACATCTTCTTATATTTATAAAAGTGACAATTCACAGGTCATTGAAATATTTATTGTCTAAAGCATTTTTGGGGGCTGAATTCTGTATTCTTGTTTCCCTCCAATTCTCTTTCCTCTGAAAGCCTTAATATTAGGCAACAATGCTGGTTCTCTAAAATAGAGTCCTCTAGCTCCTGGTGTGTAGGCTCTTAATCTTACATCATTGTGATCACTTTTAGTAACAGAAACCCAGCCTGTAAAAAGAAACAATAAACAAGGTAAACTATCATTTTATATTTCTAGAGGTGGTAAAGGCAGTATATGCATGGATGAACTTGAAATAAAATGGCCATTTCATAATACGTAAGATAAAAAAATAGCTTCGCTGAGCGCAGCTGGATACGCCAGCAGAGGTCCAATTAACCCTGAACAGTTGGGGCAAAAATGGACACAATATTCAAGGCTGACCAAAGTTGGGCGGTATTTATCGCCCCCGGTATTTAACAGTGGTATTTACCGGTATTTACCACCCCGGACAATACTCCCCAAGTGGTCAATACTGGCAAATACTGGTCAATTGAAATTTTCATGCTTCTTATGACTGACTTATCTATCAATTGTAGTAAAAAATTGGTTGATGAGGGAAAACTTTATTCCTTTGACATGATTCAGTTTATAAAAATGAATGATATTGGTATGTTATTGATTATAAAAACAATAAAAATTACTAATTTAGTTCTTGGGGGTAATGATATTGCATACTTTTGGTATACATATAAAATTGCTATATCAGTTATTTTAACATGTATAAATCAAGATATTTTTATTTTTTTCTTGAAAAGGTTTGAATTTTACAAGTAAATAGAATTACAAGTGACTAGCAATATAGATTATCAGAGCATTACCTATTATATGGCTAACAGGTGTCAAAAGTTTAATTACTATAACAACTGTCCCCTAACAAATGACATAACAGGAAAAAAGTCATAAAAGTGATTTCTGAAGATTGTTTTAAACAATGAATTAATCCTGACTATTCAACAGCATGATAAAAATCTTCTAAATGCAGGAAATGTTTTTTTTTTAATAAATATATAAAACAATTTTTTTTAATTTTTTAATTGCATCTTTCAAAATAACTGTTAAGAAATCCAAATGTTATATAGTCTCTTTATAGTGACTGACTTCATGGTGTTAATGACTATATCTGTTGTTTGATTAAATTAATATTTGATAAATCTTCATTAAACCATGTCCATGAACTAATTAATTGTGAATTTTTGTCCTAGTACAATGTAGTAAATAAGTGACTTTCTGCCTTGTGACTATATCTAGCCATTTACCAAGTAATTGACCTCAGGTAGGGACTAATTTTATAGTAAAATCCTATCAAAATTTCAATTGACCTGTATTTGCCAGTATTGACCAGTATTTGCCAGTATTTCCCGGTATTTACTGCCGGCATGGTCAATACTAGTATTGACTGCTTTTTTGCCAACCTTCAAAAAATTATTTCAAGCTTGATACAGGTCTGAATTTGGATTGTAATTAAATATTTGATATATTATAGGTTTCTGAATAAATGTAGTCAAAGAACTTGAAATTGGTTATATGAAAGATTTCTTGCTGTTGTGCAATACACTGTGCTGTTGCGTAATACTTAGTAAATCTGTTGTCAGACTATAAACAAATAAAATCTGATAACTCGGAAACTTAAAATTGAAAATTTATAAAAATCAAAAGGGAGCTAACAAAAAAAGATATAAGCAATTTACCAAAGTTTCATAAAGAGCCTGAATCGCTCACCTGTAATTTTTTGCTTAAATCTTTCATCAATGATAATTTTTGCTTTTTAATATATATTAGTGAGTGGCTTAAAAATTCCATTGAGATATTCTTTGTATCTGTCATATTTTCCCCCAAAAGCAAAGAAATACATTTTACCCCTATGTTCCATTTTAGCCATAGTGGCTATGTTTCTTGACGTACAAGAAAATAAAATACAAAATTTATACTAGATACTCTGAAACTCATTCAGCCCAAGTTTGGCTGAAATTGATTCAGCAGTTTCAAAGGAGAAGATTTTTTAAAGTTAGAAAACAAGATTAACAAATTGTGTAAAATTATCCTCAAAGGGCAATAATAGTCCTTAAGGGATCAATTGACAATTTTGGTCATATTAAACTTATTTATAGATCTTACTTTGCTGAACATATTTGCTGTTTACAGTTTATCTTTATCATTAATACTATTCAAGATAATAACCAACAAAATGCTCCGCTGGGCGCAGCTTGATAGGACCACAGAGGTCGAACCCTGAACAGTTGGGGCAAGTATGGACACAACATTCAAGCTTGATACAGCACTGAATTTGGATTGTGATTAAACATTTGACACAGCATAGGTTTCTGACACAAAATGAATGTGGTCTAAGAACTTAAAAATTTTTAATTTACCTATTCAAACCATATCATTATTATTTGCTTTTATATATAAATCAGAAATAACCAATTTAAAATGGAATATTTTAAAGAAAAAAAAAATTCCTCCACCAAATTTTTTGAACCCCCTTATGATTCATCACCCCCAAACTCAATCCCAGCCTTCCCTTTGTGGTATGGTACCTTGCATTACAATTTCAGAGAGATCCATACACTTGAACACAAGTTATTGTCTGGAAACTAGAAAAATGCTTATTTTTGGCCCCTTATTCCTAAACTTTGGGCAATTACCCTCAAACTCAATTCCAGCTTTCCCTTTGTGATATATATGGAACCTTGTAGTACAATTTCAGAAAGATCCATACACTTACACACAAGTTATTATCATGAAACTAGAAAAATGCTTGATTTTTGCCCCTTTTTGGCCCCTAATTCCTAAAATTTTGAGGCAGTTACCCCCAAAATCAATCCCAGCATTCCCTTTGTGATATGAAACCTTGTGGTACAATGTCAGAGAGATCCATACACTCACACACAAGTTATGTCTGGAAGTTACAAAAATATTATTTTTGGCCCCTTTTTGGCCCCTAATTCCTTAACTGTTGGTATCATAACCTCCAAAATCAATCCCAACCTTCTTTTTTGTGGTATTGAACCTTATGGTAAAATTTCATAGAGATCCATTCACTTAAACTAAAGTTAGAAGGCGAAAACCAATGTGTCTTCGGACGACGACGACGCCAACGTCATATCAATATACGACCACAAAATTTTTTTGCGGTCGTATAAAAATTGCAAAATTTCCTTAAAATTACCAATTTAGTGGCAGCAACCCAACAATGGGTTATTAGATTCATCTGAAAATTTCAGGGCTGATAGAATTTCACCTAATGAACATTTTTACCCCATGTCAGATTTGTTCTAACTCCTTTGAATTTTTAGATATAAGCCAAAAACTGCATTTTACCCCTATGTTCTATTTTTAGCCATGGTGGCCATGTTTTTTGACGAAACAGAAAATAAAACACAAACTTTATTCTAGATACCCTAAGGATCATTCAGCTTAAGTTTGATTGGAATTGGTTCAGTGGTTTCAGAGGAGAAGATTTTTAAAAATTAGAAAACATGATAAACAAATTGTGTAAATTTGTCCTTAAAGGGCAATAACTCTTTAAGGGGTCAATTGACAATTTTGGTCATATAAACTTATTTGTAGATCTTACTTTGCTGAACATATTTGCTGTTTACAGTTTATCTTTATCATTAATACTTTTCAAGATAATAACCAATAAAATGCTCCGCTGGGGCGCAGCTTGATACGACCGCAGTGGTCGAACCCTGAACAGTTGGGGCAAGTATGGACACAACATTTAAGCTTGATACAGCACTGAATTTGAATTGTAATTAAATATTTGACACAGCATAGGTTTCTGACACAGAATGAAAGTGGTCTAAGAACTTAAAAAAATTTTAATTTACCTATTCAAACCATATCATTATTATTTGCTTTTATATATAAATCAGAAATAACCAATTTAAAATGGAAAAATTTAAAAGAAACTAGAGGCTCTAAAGAGCCTGTGTCGCTCACCTTGGTCTATGTGCATATTAAACAAAGGACACAGATGGAATCATGACAAAATTGTGTTTTGGTGATGGTGATGTGTTTGTAGATCTTACTTTACTGAACATTATTGCTGCTTACAATTATCTCTATCTATAATGAACTTGGCCCAGTAGTTACAGTGGAAAATATTTTGTAAAAATTTACAAAAATTTACAAAAATTATGAAAATTGTAAAAAATTGACTATAAAGGGCAATAACTCCTTAAGGGGTCAATTGATAATTTTGGTCATGTTGACTTATTTGTAGATCTTACTTTGCTGTACATTATTGCTGTTTACAGTTTATCTCTATCTATAATAATATTCAAGATAATAACCAAAAGCTGCAAAATTTTCTTAAAATTACCAATTCAGGGGCAGCAACCCAACAACGTGTTGCCTGATTGGTCTGAAAATTTCAGGGCAGATAGATCTTGACCTAATGAACAATTTTATCCTTGTCAGATTTGCTCTAAAGGCTTTGGTTTCAGAGATATGAGCCAGAAACTGCCTTTTTCCCTATGTACTATTTTTCAGCCATGTCGGCCATCTTGTTTCGTGGGCGGGGTCATCGGACACATTTTTTAAACTAGATACCCTAATGATGATTGTGGACAAGTTTGGTTAAATTTGTCTTAGTAGTTTCAGAGAAGAAGATTTTTGTAAAAGATTACAAAAATTTATGAAAAATGGTTAAAAATTGACTATAAAGGGCAATAACTCCTTAAGGGGTCAACTGACCATTTTGGTCAAGTTGACTTATTTGTAGATCTTACTTTGCTGAACATTATTGCTGTTTACAGTTTATCTCTATCTATAATAATATTCAAGATAATAACCAAAAACGGCAAAATTTCCTTAAAATTACCAATTCAGGGGCAGCAACCCAACAACGGGTTGTCAGATTCATCTGAAAATTTCAGGGCAGATAGATCTTGACCTGATAAACAATTTTACCCCATGTCAGATTTGCTCTAAATGCTTTGGTTTCAGAGATATAAGCCAAAATCTACATTTTACCCCTATGTTCTATTTTTAGCCATGGCGGCCATCTTGGTTGGTTGGCCGGGTCACATTTTTTAAACTAGATACCCCAATGATGATTGTGGCCAAGTTTGGTTTAATTTGGCCAAGTAGTTTCAGAGGAGAAGATTTTTGTAAAAGTTAACGATGACGGACGACGACGACGACAGACGACCGACGCCAAGTGATGAGAAAAGCTCACTTGGCCCTTTGGGCCAGGTGAGCTAAAAAAAGGAAAACAAAATCCCCTCCCCCAAATTTTTTGAACCCCCTTATGATTCATCACCCCCAAACTCAATCCCAGCCTTCCCTTTGTGGTATGGTACCTTGCAGTACAATTTCAGAGAGATCCATACACTTGAACACAAGTTATTGTCTGGAAACTAGAAAAATGCTTGTTTTTTGGCCCCTTTTTGGCCCCAAATTCCTAAACGTTTAGGGGAATTACCCCCAAACTCAAACCCAGCTTTCCCTTTGTGATATGGAACCTTGCAGTACAATTTCATAAAGATCCATACACTTACACACAAGTTATTGTCCTGAAACTAGAAAAATGCTTGTTTTTTTGCCCTTTTATGGCCCCTTATTACTAAAATTTTGAGGGAATTACCCCCAAAATCAATCCCAGCCTTCCATTTGTAGTATGGTACCTTGCAGTACAATTTCAGAGAGGTCCATATACTTGAACACAAGTTATTGTCTGGAAGTTACAAAAATGCTTATTTTTGGCCCCTTTTTGGCCCCTTATTCCTAAAATTTTTGGGCAATTACCCCCAAACTCAATTCCAGCTTTCCCTTTGTGATATGGAACCTTGTAGTACAATTTCAGAGAGATCCATACACTTACACACAAGTAATTGTCATGAAACTAGAAAAATGCTTGTTTTTTGCCCCTTTTTGGCCCCTAATTCCTAAAATTGGAGGCAATTACCTCCAAAATCAATCCCAGCATTTCCTTTGTGATATGGAACCTTGTGATACAATGTCAGAGAGATCCATAGACTTACACACAAGTTATTGTCATGAAACTAGAAAAATGCTTGTGTTTTGCCCCTAATTCCTAAAATTTGGAGGGAATTACCCCCAAAATCAATCCCAGCATTCCCTTTGAGATATGGAACCTTGTGGTACAATGTCAGAGAGATCCATACACTTACACACAAGTTATGTCTGGAAGTTACAAAAATGCTTATTGTTGGCCCCTAATTCCTTAACTGTTGGTACCATAACCCCCAAAATCAATCCCCACCTTCCTTTTGTCGTATTGAACCTTATGGTAAAATTTCATTGAGATCCATTCACTTAAACTAAAGTTAGAGTGCGAAAACCCCATGTCAGATTTGCTCTAACTGCTTTGGTTTTTGAGATATAAGCCAAAAACTGCATTTTACCCCTATGTTCTATTTTTACCCATGGTGGCCATGTTTTTTGACAAAACAAAAAATAAAACACAAACTTTATTCTAGATACCCAAAGGATCATTCAGCTTAAGTTTGGTTGGAATTGGTTCAGTAGTTTCAGAGGAGAAGATGTTTGAAATAGTTTACACCAGACGGACGACGACAACGGACGCCAAGTGATGGCTAAAGCTCACAGTTCCTTCGGAACGGTGAGCTAAAAATGCTGAAAGCATTTTTGAGTTATTGTCCAAAAACTGGAAAATCCCCCTTTTTGTAATGAATAAAACCCCATAAATAGGAAAAGTTTAATCTGAAATTTATAAAAATCAAAAGGGAGCTCATGTCGATAGAAATAAACAATTCACCAAAGTTTCTTGCAAATTGGTGAAATTGTTTTTGAGTTTTTGTCTTAAAACTGGAAAATCCCCCCTTTTTTAATAAATGAAACCCCAAAATTCGGAAACGGTAAATCCAAAATTTTTAAAAACAAAAGGGAGCTCACGTCAATAGATATGAACAATTCACAAAAGTTTCTTGCAAATTGGTGAAATTTGTTTTGAGTTATTGTCTGAAAACTGGAAAAATCCCCCCTTTTTTAATGAATAAAACCCCAAAACTCGGAAACCGTAAATCCTAAATTTAAAAAAAACTAAAGGGAGCTCACGTCAACAGATATGAAAAATTCGCAAAAGTTTCATGCAAATTGGTGAAATTGTTTTTGAGTTATTGTCCGAAAACTGGAAAATCCCCCCTATTTTAATGAATAAAACCCCAAAACTCGGAAATGATAAATTTGAAATTTATAAAAAACAAAAGGGAGCTCACGTCAATAGATATAAACAATTCACCAAAGTTTCATGCACATTGGTTAAAGTGTTTTTGAATTAATGTCCGACTAATTGACGACGGACGGATGGACGGACAGACAGACAGACGGACAGACAGGCGGACAGACGGTCAACAGTATACCATAATAAGTCCCGTAAACGGGCGTATAAAAAAAGCTTACATGTTGCTTTTTTACAAAGAAAAACAATTGTGATTTAGTCTTTATTTTATTAAACCTTTAAACCACTGGAAACTTGGTGGAAAGTTGTCTCATTGGCAATCATACCAAATCTTCTTTTTTTTTATTGAAGGATATCCTTTGAAATATCACTAGTAATAAACTTACATCATAGATACCAGAAAAAGAGCAAAGTTAATCATTAATTCATGGATTGAAGCAGGTCATTAAAATAAAATGTAAGCATAGACTGTTGATGCTTAGATACTCGGAGCAAAACAAAATCAGGATGTTAATCAATATCCTTACTTCTAAATAAATGACAAACCAATAATCATTATCCTTAGCAGGTAGTACATCAAACGATGGGTCAAGTATTTATTGAATAATAATTGTTTCAGTTTGCATGATAAAATCTTTATTGATTATTACATGTATAATATTATAAAGTAATGTTTCCTCAACATTCTCTTAATTGTGTATTTCAAATTCTTATCCCATTTTGATAAATATGATAGTCAAAGGTCAACATGGTACTATTGCGCAAATTGAGAAATGATAAAATAAATCAAAATGATTTGAAAAACATAAAAGAGAAATATGTTCACATATTGTCTGTGTGTATTTACTGTGAAGAAAACACTTCATCCATCAGATGCTCCAAAGCAGATCTAAATATGAACTGTACTACAGAGTTTTATCTGTATGCAGCATTACTGTTCAGGAAAGTAATAAACATTTTACAGATTTCAAATGGAAGAAAAATTCTGTACAAACACAATCTAAAAAATTAAAATATCTTGTTTGATTATTGTTAATTCAGAAATTTTTGCATGCTCTTATCTAATAATGCAATAGTTAAACATTGGACAAAACTGTATGAATAATTTTTTTAAATGGTGCATACAAAAGACTAGAGGCTCTCAAGAGCCTGTGTCGCTCACCTGTATTTACTGATGCTTTGGAAATCATGTAAAATAAGGTTAAAATCATAATTAATAGTATTAGATATTAGATATTGTAATGATATCTAAGATAATAACAAAAAAATGCAAAATTTTTGTAAAATTACTAACTCAGGGGCAGCAACACAACAACGGGTTGTCGGATTCGTCTGAAAATTTCAGGGCAGATAAATCTAAATCTGATGAACATTTTTGCCACCTGTCAGATTTGCTCTAAATGCTTTAGTTTCAGAGATATAAACCAAAAACTGCATTTTACCCCTATGTTCTATTTTTAACCAAGTCGGCCATGATGGTTGGAACGCGGGGTCATCGGACAAATTTTTTAAACTAGATACCCTAATAATGATTATGGCCAAGTACGGTTAAATTTGTCTCAGTAGTTTCAGAGAAGAAGATTTTTGTAAAAGATTACAAAAATTTACAAAAAATTGTTAAAAATTGACTGTTAAGGGCAATAACTCCTAAAGGGGTCGACTGACAATTTTGGTCATGACAACTTATTTGTAGATCTTACTTTGCTGAACATTATTGCTGTTTACAGTTTATCTCTATCTATAATAATATTCAAGATAATAACCAAAAACGGCAAAATTTCCTTAAAATTACCAATTCAGGGGCAGCAACCCAACAACAGGTTGTCAGAATTGTCTGAAAATTTCAGGGCAGATAGATCTTGACCAGATAATCAGTTTTACCCTATGTCAGATTTACTCTAAATGCTTTGGTTTCAGAGATATAAGCCAAAATCTACATTTTACCCCTATGTTCTATTTTTAGCCATAGCGGCCATCTTGGTTGGTTGGCGGGGTCATCGGACACATTTTTTAAACTAGATACCCTAATGATGATTGTGGCCAAGTTTGGTTAAATTTGGTCCAGTGGTTTCGATTTTTGTAAAAAGCTAACGACGACGACCACATCGACGACGACGGACGCCAAGTGATGAGAAAAGCTCACTTGGCCCTTCGGGCTAGGTGAGCTAAAAACTATCAAAATTTAAAATGGGAACTTTTATTTTTGTAAAATCTTTCCCATGGAAATTTTCACAAAAATAAAAACATCACAAAAATTTCAGTGGCACTAAAATAAATCTCTTGAAAAAATTTTCACAAGGGGAGAGCCTCCTTTCAAAGTTTGAAAATATCTTGAGCTCAATTTATACTGATTTCATGTGTCTGGTTTCAGTTTTTGAACACAAAAAGACAAGAAACTGGTATGAACTAGATGCACCATAAAAACATTTCAAAAATTGATTACGTGCTAGTACAGCTTGACTCAAAATATACAAAATCTGATTGGATCATGCCTAACTATGTAGATTGGGTTGAAAAAAAGACTTACCTAGTGATGAAAGCTGAATGTCTGCAATGGCATGGTCACAGGACAAAAAGTTTGTCAAATGATACTCCCTTCCAACTAATGATGGTATACTGTCCAGTCTTTCTTCATCTCCAATAGGTACCTAAAAATAAAAGTAAATATAAGATTTAATATATGTACATGTAATAAGTAAAAATAAGTATACATTTTTTTTACTAAGGAAATGTTCATTCAAACTGCTCAATAGGATCAACAATAATGAGGGTCAAAATATGATCAGAATATAGAATATAATTTCTATCCCTACTACCAGTAATTCAAAATGCAAAAGCTTAATGAAATATGGAACTAAAATTCATATAACAGAAAAATAAGTGTCTGATTCAATCCAAACTATTTTTCTACCTATGAATTTTAAGCTTATTGAAGTACCAAGGCTTTTATGGGCTACAGGCATGGTTTGTATATTGAGAGCAAACAGAGCAGAATTAACTTGACACATTTTTTTCTCAATAAAAGTGGTACAAGTCTTTTTGTATTTCATCATCAATATCATTCTTGTAAACTATGTAAAAGTTTCAAAGTCAATGAACCATAATGAGGGGTGAGGTTATATAATCTCCATTGAAATGAAACTTGCAAATGCCAATACATTTGCATACCAAATATCATTGACTTAACATTAGTGGTTCATCTTAAACTGACATAGTCACAAACTACTACATGTAAACTAAGCAAAAGTTTCAAAGTCAATAGACCATGACTCAGGGGTAAGGACCGAATATTCTCCATGGAAATGAGATGTGCTTATGCTTATACAACTGCATACCAATTATCATTGACCTAACACTAACAGTTCCCCATCAACTGACCTAATCACAAACTAATACATGAAAACTAAGCAAAAGTTTCAAAGTCAATAGACCATGGCTCAGGGGGCAGGGCCAAAATTAATCTCCATGGAAACTAATACATGTAAACTAAGCAAAGTTTCAAAGTCAATAGACCATGACTGAGGGGGCAGGGCCAAATAATCAATGTGGTAATGAGATGTGCCAATGCTAATACAACTGCATACCAAATATCATTGACCTACCACTAGTGGTTCACCATAAACTAGATCTAATCACAAACTAATTCATTATTGACACTGCCGCCACCGCCGGAAACAGCATACCTATGTCTCGCTTTTTTATTCTGTCAAGGCAAGACAAAAATCTGCATTTAAGGGCAATAACTCTGATAAGGAGTCAATTGATGGTTTCAGTCATTTTTGTATTTTTGTAGATCTTGTATTGGGACTCATTTCTGCTGATTTCATTTAATGTCTATCTATAGTTATTATGAACCTTTTTGCCCTGTTAGATTTTCTGTGCCCATTATGGTTTTCAAGGAATAAGTAAATTACTTTAATTTTATCCTTATGTTCTATCTTTAGCAAAGGCCACCATATTTGTTGATGGACCAAAATATAACTCTAGACAAACCACTGATCTCAGTTTTTTTTATTTCAATTGGTTCAGTGGTTTTTGAGGAGAATATTTTTGAAAGTTATCATGCACACACAGACGATGGATGATATATGTCAAGTAGAAGCCAGATGAGCTAAAAATGAACTGTTTCCTTCATGTGGAGTAATGTTTCCTTCCTTCAATCTATCTTACAAAGTTTTGAATAGTAAGACAACAATCAAATCATTTTATTGTAAAATGAGGTAAATGTCTTGCAAAATTCTTTGATAAAATGACCAAAGACATTTTAGAGCTTAAAAATACTTCAAATATTTCAAACCATGAACTTACCTGTAATACACTTGTCCCATAGGCTTTATCATAGAAATCATCGGCCTCTTCTTTATCTTTAATGTGTAACCATGAACTTACCTGTAATACACTTGTACCATAGGCTTTATCATAGAAATCATCGGCCTCTTCTTTATCTTTAATGTGTAACCATGAACTTACCTGTAATACACTTGTCCCATAGGCTTTATCATAGAAATCATCGGCCTCTTCTTTATCTTTAATGTGTAACCATGTACTTACCTGTAATACTCTTGTCCCATAGGCTTTATCATAGAAATCATCAGCCTCTTCTTTATCTTTAATGTGTAACCATGAACTTACCTGTAATACTCTTGTCCCATAGGCTTTATCATAGAAATCATCGGCCTCTTCTTTATCTTTAATGTGTAACCATGAACTTACGGTCTTACCAGTAATACTCTTGTCCCATAGGCTTTATCATAGAAATCATCAGCCTCTTCTTTATCTTTAATGTGTAACCATGAACTTACCTGTAATACACTTGTCCCATAGGCTTTATCATAGAAATCATCAGCCTCTTCTTTATCTTTAATGTGAACCTTAATATTGGAAGTTACATGGACTGTTATAAACACTGGCCTTATCCCCTATAAAATAATAACCATGTACATTTAAACAGGGATTGGTTTAAATATCAAGAAGTTTGTTACAATAAAGGATGTTTGCTGCTCTGTTTCAAAATAACAAGCTTTTTAAAAGTCTGTTATAAATTGATGGTATATAAATAACAAAACTAAATAAATGGGGAAGGTGTCCATGGGACACAGATGATGCCCCCGCTTGCATATCATATAAAGTTATAAAGGGACAAAAATGAAGAACGTTAAAAGTGACGCTACCTAAATTTGTACTTGATCTGAGTTTTGTGGTAATAAGTATTGTCTATAAGTTTCATAACATTTGGTTGAGGTAAGCTAAAGTTAGAGAATGGAAACGAAAAATTCAGCAATTTTTCCATTTGTAAAGGGGCATAACTCCAGGAAGGTTAAAGTGACACCACCAAAATTCAAACTTGATCTGTGTTTTGTGGTAATAAGCATTGTGCATAAGTTTCATAACATTTGGTTGAGGCAAACTAAAGTTCGAGAATGGAAACGAAAAATTCAGCAATTTTTCCATTTGTAAAGGGGTATAACTCCAGGAAGGTTAAAGTGACACCACCAAAATTCAAACTTGATCTGTGTTTTGTGGTAATAAGCATTGTGTATAAGTTTCATAACATTTGGTTGAGGCAAACTAAAGTTAGAGAACGGAAACCAACTTTGGGACATACAGATGGACGTACAGACAGACAAGGGTAAAACTTAATGCCCCCTCCGCTACGTGGGGGCATAAAAAGCTGAAAAATGAAAGGTCCTTTTCTTGTTTTTGGCTGTGAATAATACTCTCTGGATATTCAATACATATAACATTGGCACCTTTTTCATTCAAAATCTAAGAAAATATAACAAGGATTTTATAAGATTTTCAATAAAATGCTCCGCTTGAAGCAGCTTGATACGACCGCAGAGGTCGAACCCTGAACAGTTGGGGCAAGTATGGACACTGTATTCAAGCTTGATATAGCTCTTAATTTTTTGGAAATATTTGACACAGCATAGCTTTCTGAGACAGAATGAATGTGGTCAAAGACCTGAAAAATTTGAAATTGGACTTTTACCTATTATGGTCCAATGTCCAAAATCTAAATACACGGTTCGATTCAGCATATCCAAGTGCACCAAGAATTGAATTGAATTATTTATTAATGGACAATATTATCTAAGTTTTTAAAGGGGTTCGCTTCATAAAAATAATATATATATATATAGCATTCTGAAAATTAACTTATACAGAATAACAAACAAACCTACCATGAAGTTTTTCAAAAAATTAACCAAAAACTGAAATAAACAATTTCAAAAATATCAATCATCAGTACTACAATGTCTTTAAACAAATGGAGAATGTGTCTATGGGACAAAGATGATGCTCCCGCTTGCATATAACGTTATAAAGGGACATAACTAGAGAACTGTAAAAGTGATGCCACCCAAATTCAAACTTGATCTGTTTTTTATGGTAATAAGCATTGTGTATAAGTTTCATAACATCTGGTTGAGGCAAACTAAAGTTGGCGAACAGAAACCAATTTTGGGATGTACTTACGTACGGAGAAGGGTAACACTTAATGCCCCCTTCACCTAGTGGCGGGGATATAAAAATCTATAAAACGGTTTGGGTCATAACCCCCAAAATCAATCCCAACCTTCCTTTTGAGGTATGGGACCTTGAGGTACAATTTCATAGAGACCCATACACTTCTACACAAGTTCTTTTCCTGAAACAAGAATAATAAAATTGAGAATGGAAATGGGGAATGTGTCAAAGAGACAACAACCCGACCATAGAACAGACAACAGCAGAAGGTCACCAACAGGTCTTCAATGCAGCGAGAAATTCCCGCACCCGGAGGCGTCCTTCAGCTGGCCCCTAAACTAATATATATACTAGTTCAGTGATAATGAACGCCATACTAAACTCCAAATTGTACACAAGAAACTAAAATTAAAAATAATACAAGACTGACAAAGGCTAGAGGCTCCTGACTTGGGACAGGCGCAAAAATGCGGCGGGGTTAAACATGTTTATGAGATCTCAACCCTACCCCTATACCTCTAGCCAATGTAGAAAAGTAAACGCATAACAATACGCACATTAAAATTCAGTTCAAGAGAAGTGCGAGTCTGATGTCAGAAGATGTAACCAAAGAAAATAAACAAAATGACAATAATACATAAATAACAACAGACTACTAGCAGTTAACTGAAATGCCAGCTAATGCTTGTTTATAGTCCCTAATTTCTTAACAGTTAGGACAATTATCCCAAAAATCAATCCTAACCTTCCTTTTGTGGTATGGAACTTTGTGGTACAGTTTCATAGAGATCCATACACCTATACTCGTTATTGTCTGGAATCCAAACGTTTTCCGATGATGATGACGCTGACAACGTCATCACAATTTATGATGCAAAAATAAAATGCTTTTTTAAACTACTCTGTATATAGATAAAACCAGAGGGTTCAGAATATCTGACAAAAAGTCAAAAATAAGCTTAAAGAACATCCTTAATATCATAGTTGTTTAATCATTCTAAATATATATATTTGTTTACAACAGGCCTTTTGATTTGACTGTTTTACAAGATCTCTTGTGATCCTTCAAACCATCTACAAAAGGCTGAAGTGTAAGACAGCTATAAAATTATTAAAACCGGGTTTTAATAAGGAGTATATATGTGGTCCAGTGGATCTTAGTCTATACACAAGGTGCTGCAATAGTCAAGAGTTGTGGATTAGAGCATTAGGTTCTGTACACGAGGTGCTGCAATAGTCAGTTGTGGATTAGAGCATCAGCTTCTATGCAGAAGGTGCTCCATTGGTCATGAGTTGTAAATTAGAGCATTAGATCTAAGCAGAAGGTGCTGCAATAGTAATGAGTTGTGGATTAGATCATTAGGTTTTATACAGGAGGTATTGCAATAGTCAGGAGTTGTGGATTAGATCATTAGGTTTTATACAGGAGGTACTGCAATAGTCAGAAGTTGTGGATAAGATCATTAGGTTTTATACAGGAGGTACTGCAATAGTCAGGAGTTGTGGATTAGATCATTAGGTTTTATACAGGAGGTACTGCAATAGTCAGGAGTTGTGGATAAGATCATTAGGTTTTATACAGGAGGCTGCAATAGTCAGGAATTGTGGATTAGATCATTAGGTTCTATACAGGAGGTACTGCAATAGTCATCATGATCATGAGTTGTGTATTAGAGCATTAGGTTCTATGCAGAAGGTGCTCCATTGGTCATGAGTTGTAAATTAGAGTATTAGATTCTATGCAGGAGGTGCTCCAAGTCATGAGGTAAAATGTGGGCAGTTGGAGATGACTTAAGGGTTCTATTTAAATTTGCCAGCTTCTAAAATCTATTTTTAACTCTGGTTAATTACAATATGTTCATATATATGTAATACTCAGATCGATATCATGGCATCGCATTCTCAAATCAGTGTCCAATATTTTTACCCTCTAATAAACGTCAAATGTGATGCAATGTATTACAAAAAATGACGTCCAATCGATTAGAGTCTCCACTCATCGATGTCCAATATCCTTTAATCATTTCTTCTGAATTTAATCTTTGTTTATTTAACTGTATCGTTTTGTCTTTGTGTAAAGCTGCTTTAAAAAACTAATTGATTTCATATATCTTTACACTTAGACGTCGATTAGAGGGGCATAGATTTGGCTGTAAAATTGCAATCTTATTTTATTATGACATCAGATATAAAATGTTGATTTGAGGAACGGATGTCGATTAGAAACCAGACGTCCTTCTGAGTCTTACATATATATACTTGAACACACACACAACATCGTGGGTCAGTGACTGAATTAAAGCACCTATGCCTTATTTTTGGCCTGGATTTTTAGTATTCGTATTGTCATCTGATAAAGTCATGCTGATTGTAAGGTGCACAGTTTTTCTCTGATTAGAAAATCTTTCTGGTTGAACCTTCCAGGTTTTCTTACTATAATAAGATTACTACCAAACTAAATATATTTTTTTAACTGATTAACCAAAATGTATAGTGGTATTGAAAAGGAAGAAAACACTTGTTAAATAGTTTACCAGTGTAACATTTACTGGAGGAATTCCAGGTTCTCCTGACAGAGGAAGTATTTACAGAGGTAACAGGAAAATACAACTGGAAACTACATGTGACATATGCTATTGGTATCAGTATTGGATTGGATCACGAATCTGTTAATTATTGGTGATATTAATCATATGGAAAAGGGCCAAGAATGATTTAATTTTTAAACAACACCATTGTCCTATATTAGTTATATATAAAGTTGAATTCTTTGATTCGTCGTTTTTACGTCATGCCAGCTAACAAATTGAACCTAGTATAGATATTTGATTCTGTGATTAGTTCTTAGCTGTCAAAATGAACTAAAAGTAAAACGATTACAGTCATAATATTGAAAACTTTAAAAGTTACACCATCTATCACATTTTATAAGAAATGCAAAGTCCTCTGCATAGTTTTTTATACGACAGCAAACAATTTTTGCAGTCGTATATTGGTATGACATTGGCGTCATCGTCCGAAGACACATTGGTTTTCGCACAATAACTCTAGTTTAAGTGAATGGATCTCTTTGAAATTTTACCATAAGGTTCAATACCACAAAAGGAAGATCAAGATTGATTTTGGGGGTTATGGTACCAACAGTTAAGGAATTAGGGGCCAAAAATAAGCATTTTTGTAACTTCCAGACAATAACTTGTGTTTAAGAGTATGGATCTCTCTGAATTTATACCACAAGTTTTCATACCACATAGAGATGGTTAGGATTGGCTTTGGGGGTTATGGCTCAAACTGTTTAGGAATTAGGGGCTAAAAAGGGGAAAAAACAAGGGTTTCCTGGTTAATGGACAATTTAAAAGCAGTGTAAAGGAGGTAATCCAAAAAAAAAAATTGTACAATGTTGTACAATGTTGGATTACCTCCCTTACACTGCTTTTAAATTATCTATTTCAGACTTTTATGATGTATTTAAATTGGTAATTATGGTTGCAAACTCCATTGGAATGAAAAAATTGAATATAAATACAAATCATAAAACCAATTCTAAGTTCTTTGACTACAGTTATTCGGTGTCAGAAACCTATTATGTGTCAAATATTTAATTACAATCCAAATTCAGACCTGTATCAAGCGCGAATATTGTGTCCATTTTTGCCCCAACAGTTCAGGGTTGGACCTCTGCGGTCGTATCAAGCTGTGCTAAGCGAAGCATTTTATCTTAACCTATTGTACACAAAATAAAAGAAATCTGAAGACCCTTTCCATTACAAAGTTACCATAAAAACATTTTATTTATGTAGAAATAAGATACAGACTGCAATCGAACAAATATCTTTACCTCAATAAAATCTACTCTCCCAAAGGCTGTAATAAACATAGACTGTCCAGGTTTTAACAAATAAACTCTAGGTGGTACCACATCAGTTGGCAGCAGTTTTATAAGCTCAGTGGGTGTCAACAAGTTGATTATCTGTAAAACATATGCACACATTTCAAATACAAAAATGACAACTCTAAGCATGTTAAAAATCAGCACCAAATATGCTAAGTTTTTTATCTTTTCAAAAAACTTCTTAATCAAACTCAGCTGTTAATTTTAATAATTATTAGAGTATCAAAGTTTTAAAGGTTTACTGTAACAAAATCATGACATGTAAATAAGTGTGTTTGCTGTCTACACACTAAGAAAGACTCTACATGCAAATCTCCAAAATGTTCTTTTCATATAACATGTGTAATAAAAACTTGAATAAACCTATAAAAAAGGAACCAATATCCCATGGATTTACAATATACAAGCCCAGATACCCCATAGTACACAATCTACAGCTACATAACTGTCAAAATAAGAGGTTTTCTAGCACTTACTTCAGTGGTAGTCTATCGAGTAATTCCTATTGCAAAAAGCAAAATCAAAATTCAATCGAAATACAAAATTTCAAATAGTTAGACATTTCAGTGCAAATATTACAGTTATTATTAATCTGCATCTTCCTTTTCAGACCTATTAACAAAGGGAATTTTAAGTTAAAAAATCATTTCAAAACTTCCTAATGTTGGGATACTCTTGTATGTATATATATATTATTCAACTGATTTACTCATTAAATTTTCAAATGATTTTTAGTAATGTGTATTCATTATTATTCGTCGGATAGCAATTTTTGTTGGTTTTGTTTGTAAAAGATGACCACAAATTCAAATGTCCAGAAAAAAACAAATTATCTATAGGCTTGTATGTAGACTTTGGCCAAACCACAAAATCAAGTATATACAAAAATACAATTGTTCCTTAATCCATGAAAATAGGTACTCACCAAAATAACTGTATAAACAGTATTAGTAACAAATAACACAAGGTGTATCTAAATGCCAATTTATCTGCTGTTCACAAATTACTGGTGTATCTAAATGCCAACTTATCTGCTGTTCACAAATAACTATGGGTGTATCTAAATGCCAACTTATCTGCTGTTCACAAATAACTACAGGTGTATCTAAATGCCAACTTACCTGCTGTTCACAAATAACACCAGGTGTATATAAATGCCAACTTACCTCCTGTTAAAAAATAACACCAGGTGTATATAAATGCCATCTTACCTCCTGTTCACAAATAACACAAAGTGTATCTAAATGCCAACTTACCTGCTGTTCACAAATAACACCAGGTGTATCTAAAAGCCATCTGTTTTGTTGCTGATATTCAACATCATCAAAGTTTATACCAGTAGGTAGATCTAAGAGATGGTCACGTCCACTCTTAGAAACCAGAGAATCATGCTTCATTTCAAAAGTAGCCAGGTCATATCTAGGAGGCTCTTGGTAGTCTTCTCTGAAGTCTGTTACACCTAAATAGCCTTGAATTAGATATAAACAGTTAGAAAAATTAATAAGGTATTGTGGATTCACATGCATTTAATTTTGAAGATGATAAATCTTTGTGAATCAAAAAATTGTACTTTTGTGGTATAAGTATAGAAAACAAATAAAATATTGTGGATTCACATTTAATTTAGAAGACAATAAATCTTTGTAAATATAAACCGTATATATGCATCAAACAGTTAGAAAAGAGAGTATTAACACTCCAATGATGTAAAATTAAACTATTCATTGATAATAACTTAAAAGGAAGCTGAAAAGAGTTTGATAAGCAATATATTCATATTAAGATATTTTCAAAATCAAAATTTAACATGTCTAAACTCATACTATTTCTAGTACTTTTACACTGCTTTTTTTATTCTTAGAACAGAAAAAAACACATTCTGAAAATTAAAGATGAGGACATGCCTATAAATGTTTTTGGTTTTATAATAAAGCTATTCCCATCATTTGTTATAAGAAATAACTTAAACAATGCTATCAAAAGTCAACTAAGGAGATTAGAATAGTTTATATATAAAAAAAAATTAAAATTGAATGGGTTAGTAATTTGAGTTACTGGCATGACTAGACTAACAGAAGACTCAAGTCAGAATCACTGTAAATTCATAAATTATTGTGTTGTTTTCATTATTGAGAAAGTTGCAACAGCAAGTTATATACCAAAAATAAAAACTAAACATTTAAAATTTTGATAGCATTATTTGACATATATATGTTTGCAACATTTCCAGAAATCACAATAATAACTGCAGGCAAAAATTTCTGAATTTACAGTAATCATGGTAAATTGGTAATACAAATTTTGAAAAACATCAAATGGTAATTTATCAATTTATTATATTTTCATACCTGACAAAGTTGAAGATTTCCATTGACTCCTTAAGTTTTCTTTTTCTTGCACTATAGATTTCTGGAGATTTCTTTCCTCAACTAAAGTCTGCTTGTCTTGTTTTAACCTTGCTTCACGCATTTGCATTCTCCAAGATTTAGGGTTCAATATTGGAAATTTTAATGTGCTGATTGTTGTTCCTAAAACAAAATTAAAGAAAACTTCATATTGTTGAATTACTTGTGGCATAAATGACATTTAAAATTATTCAAAAGATTTTTTCAAAGTTTCAGTCATCAATTCAAAAAAAAAATAATTGAGCAAAAAAATGTGTTTATTAATACAATTACAACATTTCCATTGACCCTATTATGGGTCCATCTTTAGCATGGTTACATAACATCATAGTTCACCAATAAGTATACATAATTGTCCACACATTAGATGACATGAAGAGAGGGAGAAAAATAAAACTTGTGATAATCAAAACTTTGGTTATCTCCCTTTGCACAAAAAGTCATATGCCATCAGAGACATATATACACAGAGATTGGCAACTCCGTGAAATCCCGTTAAAAAACGCGGCCCGGAATGAGATTCTCGTAGATAATTATTCTACAACATGTAGACAAGTCAGGGATGAATAACCTCGATAGCTAATCAAGAAAAGTAATGGGAAAACTTATTTCAGATCAAATAAATTCTTTTTCTAAAAAACTACTTGAAATAATATATTATATAATAATATTTTTTTAATGTATTTGATTGAGAAAATATTTTTTTCTTTTTTTCGGCATTTCTTTTAATTTAAAAAGTAAAATCTGGTAATGATCATGATATTACAAGAAACATTTCTTTGCTAAAGTTTGCTTCTAAATTACACAGTGAAATTATGTGTGTCCGATTTTCCGGTCATTATTTCCTTAGAGTTGTGACTGTGGATTCACAGGTGTGCGATTACGCAAATTTATTGCCCTCCGATCACCTGAATTTTGCCGGAGGTGAAGTTCTAAGTGGATTGTTACTTGGTAATTGTTTTTACAACTAAACAAATTCTGACATTATTTTAACCATGACCAGAACTTTATTTTAACAGAAACACTGGGCTATACTATGAATAGGGTAAACGGACAGAAAGTCACAGGACATAAAGTCACAAATTGGATAGGACAAAAAGTCACAAATAATGTATTTACAATTGTTTGATTATATAAGAGAAAGATCTTCAAATAATATATTTTTTTACATTTATTCATTTCTAAGTTCAGGAAATTGTTCATAAGCCTTGATAAATGAAAAATTATTAAATTTTAATCATGCAAATAATATATTTCTTGGCACCATGAAGCCATTTAAGTGCCAAACCACTTTGACATTTTGTTATCATAACAATTATTTGATCATCATTGATATTTATTGAATAAATTTTTAATTACAAAGTTGCTTCATATATTATAGTTCAATAAAAAATCAAAAAATTATTTTTAAAATTAGTGTTTTCTTGTTCAGAGAAAAATAATCTCAAAACTGAATTGTGACTTTTCGTCTGTGACTTTTTGTCCGTGACTTTTTGTCCTGTGACTTACTGTCCTACATTCTACTATAGTATTCAATCAGGAACAAAAATAGTCATTTAACATGTCAAAAAAAAAAGAAATCAGAAAGCAACTTTTGTATATAAATAAAATATGTAGCCAGTAGAATTTTGTCTCGTGGAAAACGGATTTAAATGTTTACTTTTTGATTGACCTACAATTACATTATTTGTGGAACCTTTGCATGAATTTCCTAAATGAACGTACATTATGTACAGTGTTGTCGAAATCACTATTTTTGCTGTCATGAAATATTGAATATGAATCTGTCATTATTTGTAGTTTTTTATAGACTTAATATCACAGACCCTGATTAAAAACAACGTGTATCATAAGTGCAGTAAAATGCTCTGCTGAACTGTAGAATTTTAATGTTCTGTTTCATAGACCACAGAAGTACTGCAACATCCTTATCTTTACTCTTTCCTATCGGGTAGTGAAACTCCAGTTTGAAATTAGAAAGATTTAAAATTGAAGACAAGTTTTATCTGATCTTTTGTGGGTTTATGTTTCGGTGCAGTGCTATGTGGGCTGTTATTTTCTTTTCATTTGTCATTTTTTTATCTGTGTTACACGACCTTGTACTTTTTGTATTGCCCCTTGACATCTCCTGCTTCTGTTTAAACCTTTACCACTAATATCTCATCTGGTTTAAATAAAATAGTGTCTCATTCCCGGAATTTGTTATACAGGAATTCATTGCAATATCAGTTTTTTTATAAGCATATAAACTGCTTGGTCTCTTCACACAATTTATGTTTAGGACGAAATGCATCAATAGGTACATACATGTACCAGGTCACCAATATATAAGTACACGTTATGTGCTTTTGACCTCCACAAGAATTCTTAAACATTCATAGATGTGCAAAGAATATTTTTGTCGTTGGGTTGTTGTCTCATTGACATATACCTCACGTTTCTGAATAGTCATAGCAGCTGTGCCTTTTCAATTTATTGCAGAAAATATTTGCATTAACATTTTTCAAAATAGGCGAGGTGAAACAGTGATCACAGAATGAGGACATGTAAAACTGAAACAACACAACACAACAGATAAATATAAACAAGCACCATTGCTAAAGGACTGAAACAAACATAGATGATGACTAATATGAGCGACTAGTAGTGTACAAGTAGAGTAAACATTTCTTGCTTCTTATTCTACACATTTTGTCATTTCATGTAAACAATTAAATATGTTATTTTCCGAGGAGAGGAAGGAATTTGTGAAACGAAATATTTTGCCTTTAGTACTGTCAAGTTATATATTCACAGGAGTGTTGTTGAATAAATGAACATTTTCCCTTTTTTACATTATGCTACCTTTATGCTACAAAGGTAGCATTTCCATTCTCATGATATACAAAGATATTATAGAGTGGCCTTCCAATGATAGTCATACATGTAAATCATTGTCTCATTGGCAATCATACTACATCATCATATTGTTATACATGTATGTAAAAATTATGTACATGTATACTTTGTAAACGTAAAGAAGACAAATGAAGTTGAACACAAGATATTTATTTTCATTTTTATCTGTATAGTCTCTGCACAACTGCCACTTCTGTTTCAAATTCAATAGATTGAATGCAGAGTCTTGTATTTATTCTTAGTTCAATGATGTCACCATCACTTGCACAAAAATCGCATACACATGTACATCAAGTTTGGCATATGAACTATGATATTTGAACTACAATAATGTGGTGTTTTCACAGTCAGGATAAGCACATGTCATTTCCTCTCTTACAAAACCATTTTTTAGTATCACATTGATAGTAGTACATGTAATCGGTCCACTACATGACTGTGCAGTAACATTTGAAAAAAGTCATCACTAATAGTTGTTCTTGTCTGCCAGGGAATCTTTTTTTTTCAATCAGAAAGGCTAGGGAGTCCTACATTCAGCACATGTATGATATTACATCTCTTGTATGCTGCACTGTTAGGTAAATTTGATGCAGGATCCTGTTAAAAAAAAAATGCTGTCAGATACTGAATGTAAATATACATGTATATAAACTTGTAAATGTCATCAAAGTGGCGGAAATAATGAAAAAAACAATTTATATACACAAAACCGGTATGACTTGGGAAAGTAATTCCTGTGATCAATGGTGATGGGTACATTTGTTCTTTAAAGATGGACAATTTTATAAACTGTAGCCATGGACAGGTGCCTGTCTTTATATTGAAGAGAATGAAAATGGCTGACAGCTTGAATGGTCATGTTTAATTGTAAATTGCATCAAAGCTGGTGAAAATATGGAAAAAACAACTGTTATACACAAATCCAGTATGTCATAAGAAAGTAATTCATGTGCTGGGAATAATTATTCTCTAAAGATGGAAAAGTTTATTGACTGTAGACATGGACAGGGACCTGTCTTTATATTGAAGAGAATGAAAATGGCCGACAGCTTGAATGGTCATTTTTAATTGTAAATTGCATCAAAGCTGGTGAAAATATGGAAAAAACAACTGTTATATACAAATCCAGTATGTCATAAGAAAGTAATTCATATGCTGGGAATAATTATTCTCTAAAGATGGAAAAGTTTATTGACTGTAGACATGGACAGGGGCCTGTCTTTATATTGAAGAGAATGAAAATGGCCGACAGCTTGAATGGTCATTTTTAATTGTAAATTGCATCAAAGTGGGTGAAAATATGTAAAAAACAACTGTTATACACAAATCCAGTATGTCATAAGAAAGTAATTCATGTGCTGGGAATAATTATTCTCTAAAGATGGAAAAGTTTATTGACTGTAGACATGGACAGGGGCCTGTCTTTATATTTTAAAAATTGAACGTGGCCGACAGCGAGAATACTGAATTTTAATTGTAAATTGCATCAAAGTGGGTGATTTAATGAAAAATTCAACATATTTACACAAAACCAGTATGTCTTGGGAAAAGTGATTCATCTCATAAATGGTTTTATTCCTTTTCGAATGAAAAGGTTTTAATAAAAAATACGTCCGTGTAAAAAATTTTCATAACGTCCAGTCGGCCAAGCTTTCCCCTTATTATTGACCACAATAAAACGTTAATCGTCACAATATTTTAACTAACAATTACTACAAACTGAATAAAACAAGGTAAATAATTTACGAAATTGAAATATATACTTACATTATGCTGTTTTGAAAAGCTTGATGTAAAATAAAAATCGAAGCGGTGGTGAACTTGTCATGATCAGATGCAAAATGGCGATCTCGTTAAAGTCTCGTGTGACGCGTGTTTTTAATTGGATTTCGCTGACCACTGTTACAGTTGCCAATCTCTGTGTATATATGTCTCTGATGCCATGTAGCATTATTTTATATAAAATGTATTCAGTCTATATATAATTACCCTATCTAGTACCTACATTGTATTCTTATTTTTTTTACTTTTCTGATCCATACCATTACAGCATGTACAGACTTTTCTGTTAATATAGATTATTTTTAAAGCCTTCTATTTTTGGTGTTTTTTTTTAAGACATTAAACAGGCATATAGGTTTTAAGCACTTCTAGTTTTACAGACATCATTTTAGTACATTTTGTTTTCGTAAATCCTTATATACATTGTTCATACATGCTAATATCACTGATACCTAGGTTAAGGGACATTTTCATACACATTATCATAGCATAAAAGCTGCATTGATGGAACTGACAATTACAAACACAATGCTGATTTAAACAGTTATCTCCCTTAACCCAGGTCAACAACCATAACTTTTTATTCCTTACCAAAATGTCTTACATGTTTTCTTACCTGGCCATACTGAAACTGTAGCTCTATGAACTATTTCCCTTGCTCTAGATTTGCAATAATCTGACTGAAGGAGTGCATTAAACAATGTAGATTTCCCAGCATTTGTATTTCCAAGTAAATACACATTCCCTGAAAGAAAAAAAAAAACCAATGTAATGTATATCAAAGCATAAAATTTTAGTATCAAATCAAATGTACAGGCAACTGAGCAACACATTAATGCCTGGAAAACATGTAAAGTTCAACATGTTCAACATACAGTCTTTAAAATCAACAGATGTAGTAAATGTACAAGTACATGTAAATGATAGTAGGTATACATTTGTATGGGTCTCCACCATAACTTAAGATCTATGTTTTTGTATCTAATCCAGTTGTAAATAAACTTGTCAGAGACTACCAACATAAAATTGACCCATGCAAAGATCTGCAATCAGCAGCAAAATATTTAAAGCACAGAAAATATATACATGTACACCACTGTCCCAGGTTATGGGGAACAAGGGGAAGGTTGGTACCTGCAAACATGTTAAACCTAGACACATTCTGTACATTTGCATGTGACTGTCCTAAGTCAGCAGCCTGTAATTCAGTGGTTGTCATATTTGTTGCTGTTTTTCATTACATGTAGTTGTTTTGTTTTGCTAACATCAACATCATTTGGTCTCTAGTAAAAAGTTGGCAATTATGCATGCATGTACATGCATATACCACATCACCTTATGTTATTTAATATGAAAAATAGAGCAAATCTCTGAACTTAATTTTCATTTTTATTTTGAAACATTTGTTATTGTGAAAAACAACAGCAAAATTAAACGTTTAAATTTTTGTAGATCTATATGTATTAAAGAATATAACTTAAAGATCATTACCATTGTGTTTCCACTGAACCATTAAATTTGATATTAGATCTTCTATTCCATACCCAGTTTTAGCACTAATTAGTCCACAGTACTTTATATTGTTACCATTAGGATTAAGACCAGCCTCTTTACATTCTTGAAATAAATAATTTTTTATTCGTTTCAAATAGCCAGATGCATCCATTGGAATTGAATCAACTTTATTTCCAATAATGAATATTGGGCGACTCTGTTTCTTTAGAAGTTTGAATAAGTTTGGCATTAAACTATTTCTGACATCAGTAACATCGACAATTAACACTAAAAGAGCCATCTCTTCATTTATTGTTTCAATAATGTTTTGAAATTCTTCCTCAGATGACCTTACATTAAGACATATATTATGATTATGCATTAAACTACATTTTTGACACAAACTTCTTCGTAATTGCTGTTTTGTAAGAGACAAAAACCTTTCACTTGGTAAGTACCCTGTTATGGAAGGATCTTTACAATGATAAAAGGCTCCACAGCCTTGACAAGAGATATTGCTCATTGGAACTCCAGGATCTGGCTTTCCCATTTTGATTTCTTCATTACTCTGTGTAAAAGCTATACTTTCAGTTTTATTTATTTGTTGACTTGCTATGACATCTTCTATATTATCTTCTAATTCTCCTTCAGCATACATCAACGGATTTTGTTCTTCGAGATCATACTCGTCATCTAATCCATCTTCCAGTTCGTAAATTAAATTATCGTTTTGCTTTGAAGAAATAACAGTTTGCTTCACTTCAAATCCTCTTTCCTTTAACATAAATTCTGTAATTGCTGACAGGATTCTTGATTTGTTAGTTTCTGTTGAATATTTCCGTGATATTTGCACTAATTTCTTTGTAACACAGTAGGATCTGTTTATTTCCTTTAATGTGCCCGACAGTTTACAAGGGAGTGAAATGCAATGACTGACATATCTTCCAAACATGTTGAAATCTTGTTTTTTATGTAAAACAAAAAAATAATCACATTTTCGTTAAAGCGGATCTATTTGATTTTCTCTAGACTTACATAAAAGTCAAAATAATAAATAAACAACGAAACGTGTCCGGAAAGGAAACGCCCATTTTCTGTTGAATAACAATTTGCCCCAGAAATGAGTGAATATGAATATTATGGAGGAGTTGAAGGGTAAATGAACACAGCACACAAATATATGTTTTATGATAAGACAATTTTTAGCCAAAAATTTCCCAAAAAGATATTTTTTTCTGCAACATATCTTCTACAAAGAAATAAATCTGGGTAAACTAGTTTTGGGTTAGGCTGTGGGGCATATCCAATTTTATTAAAAGGCGTAAAAGCTATTAGTAAAGTGGCATTGTTTATTCAAATATTTCAATTTTAACATGTCTATGACAAAATATCGACATATAAGCTGACAAGTCCCAAGTCAGTATCCTCTAGCCTTTGTTAGTCTTGTATTATTTTTAATTTTAGTTTCTTGTGTACAATTTGGAGTTTAGTATGGCGTTCGTTATCACTGAACTAGTATATATATTTGTTTAGGGGCCAGCTGAAGGACGCCTCCGGGTGCGGGAATTTCTCGCTGCATTGAAGACCTGTTGGTGACCTTCTCACAGCTGTTGTTTGTTCTATGGTCGGGTTGTTTCCTCTTTGACACATTCCCCATTTCCATTCTCAATTTTATTCCTACACTAAAGTGTCCAGATGATATTCTATTTATTTACAAATTAAAATTATACCATCATGACTAGTCAAAATAATTATGACTCTTAAACGGCTATTTTAAATTTTTTCTGTGACGCCTTCCGTCGAAGGAAGGCGTCACAGAAAATTTTTAAAATAGCCTTTCTAGACATCATAATTATTTGGAATACATCATGACCTTAGAATTCTAATTTCAGAACATGCAGAATGTTCATAACAATACACCTTATCGCTATTTGTGCCAATCTGGATAAGTTCTAAAATTACACAACTTTTTCAAACCAGTTGAAGCTATCTGGGGTCTTGTTCAAACAATATATTGTGCATAAAACTTTTCATAGAGACATGCTTAAACTATCATAAACACATCAAACAAAGCATTTTTAATGACTTTAATTTGTATTTTAAAAATTGCTTCATAAACTATCAAAACTTTAAAATGTTCACTTTCAAAACTTTTTCCTCCCTCAGCTCATTGCTGATGACCTTGTTTTTTTTCAATATTTTACCCAAACTGGAAGTTGTCTAAATGACTGTTTTTTTTCCGGAATGGACTAAATAGTGATAAGCTGTATACAATAACATATATCATTGTCCAGCTGCACGGCTCATGAAATATTTTTGCAATTTTCCCAGAATCATCAAGGTGAAGCTTCTTGAAATTTCAGGCTGGACTCTCGCTCATAAAAACCTTTCCTATCAATGTTGCCATAATTATTTTATGTTGATGCCTGACCTTTTATATACATGTATGTACATGGGTCTTGAAAATAGCCAATTTTGGTACATTATCAACTTGGAAGAAGTCAATATTTGCAACATTTTGATTAAAACAAGGAACTATTTGAACTGTTAAATATGGAACAATTTTAAGTTCTGGAAAATTGATAATAAATATGATAAAAGTATGATGAAAACTAATCCAGCTATGGAGGGTTAATTGTGTTAGTTTTCATCATACATTTCTTATCAATTTTGTTTAAGTCATATCTTTTCATAACACAATGGAGACAACATGTGAAATATACAAATTTAAACCTCTTAGAGTCAAAAGCAAAATAATACATATTTATGTCTGAGATCTCTGACACTGTAAATTTATTGAATAGTATTTGTTTGTAACAAGGTAGCAACCATTTATCAACATAATCAAGAGAAATTGTTTACATAATAAATGGCAAAAAATGGCATTTCAATGTTGGAATTAAAGCCATTTGTAAAAAAAAATGTAAAAAATGCCTGCTGTACAGTATTGAAATGCCATTTTTTCAATTAATGGCAAATAAATGTGAAGATAGGAAATGGTTTGAAAAAATTTACTAACAAAAAATTGAAATTTCATGGATTTTTAATGGTTTTTATACAACTGCAAAAAAATTTGCGGTCGTATATTGGAATGACGTTGGCGTTGTCGTTATCGGCGTCGACCGAAGACACATTGGTTTTCGCACAATAACTTTAGTTTAGGTGAATGGATCTCTATGAAATTTTACCATAAGGTTCAGTACCACAAAAAGGAAGGTTGGGATTGATTTTGGGGGTTATGGTACCAATAGCTAAGGAATTAGGGGCCAAAAATGGCCCAAATAAGCATTTTTCTAGTTTCCAGACAATAACTTGTGGAACAGTGTATGAATCTCTCTGAAATTATACCAAAAGTTTCCATACCACAAAGGAATTGTTAGGATTGATTTTGGGGGGTTATGGCTCAAACCCTTTAGGAATTGGGGGCAAAAAAGGGGGAAAAACAAGGGTTTCCTGGTTAATGGACAATTTAAAAGCAGTGTAAGGGAGGTAATCCTAATACATTTTAATCCTAATACATTTAAAGTATTAAAAAAAAAAATGTGGATTACCTCCCTTACATTGCATTGCTTTTAAATTATGTATAAAGATGTTGTATTGTCTTGAGGTGATTAGCTGTCAATTAATTTTTAGAAGTTACTATTAACATGATTAAAGGAATATTAATTTTAGCCATGATTATGTATGTCATTTTCTATTTTAAGACTTTTATGATGTATTTAAATTGGTAATTATGGTTGCAAACTCCATTGGAAATTTGAATTGAGATTATGACCATATCTTGAGGGAAAGAATTTTTTTTTGGATAAAGGGGGGGAGGTGAACCAAAAAATTTGGGGTAAAAAAGAAATTGGGGGGGGGGGGGGGGGGGGGGGGGGGGGGGGCAATTTTTTCTCATTTCAGATTTGGCAAAATAAGGGGGGGGGGGGGGCAATAGGCAACAGCATGATGTATTGCACAAAAGCAAAAAAATTGAATATAAATTCAAATCATATAACCAATTCTAAGTTCTTAGACTACAGTTATTCTGTCAGAAACCTATTATGTGTCAAATATTTAATTACAATCCAAGTTCAGACTTGTACTTGTTTGTTAACTGAATACTTATATATTCTGACACATACATCACATAACAGACATGTAATGAATTTACTTTGCATTTTTCTACGGAACAGCAACTAATCAGAGCTTTCTTAAATTTGATATCAAGCTTCATTAGAGCATGCTATACTGTGTGATTTGTTTTTATATCCAGCACTCATCATCAACTCCCTGTTTTTACTTAATACTTACATGACTTATAGGGATATCATAAGTGACGAAAGGCTTGTATATAAAAATAAGAAGATGTGGTATGATTGCCAATGAGAAAACTCTCCACCAGAGTTCAAATGACATAGAAGTTTACAACTAGAGTTCAGCTGGTTTAAAAAAAAATATTGTGGACAGTATTGTGGACAGGTTTTCAAGACATTTCAATTTAAAGTTGAAAAAAAGCATATTTATGAAGAGCTATTCATTTTTGTCTGGCCTTGTTTGAATAAAAGAAAGAAAGACTTTAGGTGTAATGTTTCTGGCAGTGGCGTCTGCTGCATCAACAACTTCTTAAAGTCAGTTCAAGGGGAAGGATTATTGGTAAATCAAAGACATTTGGTATGCAGTTGTACAGGCATTGGTACATATCATTTCCATGGAGATTATTTGGCCCTGCACCAGGGTTTACCCCTCAGTCATGATCTATTGACTTTGAAACTTTTTGCATCATTACATGTTAAAGTTTGTGATTAGGTCAGTTTTAGGGGGAACCACTTACGATAAGTCAATGCTATTTAGTACAAGGTTGTATTTGCATTGGCATATCTTATATCTCAGAAATTATTTGGCCTTGTTCCTTCAGTCATGGGTCATGGACTTTGTGTATTTTGCATAATTTACATGTTAAAGTATTGCTATTTGGATTTCAACATTTGCATTTTACTATCAAAATTATATACAGACAAGACATATATCTGTGTCAACAATTGATTGCTACTATAAATATGTTGCAATTAGGTAACAGCTGTGAAAAATAAAGTGTTAAAGGGTAAATTCCAGGGAAAATAGCAGGAAGTTGGACCAATTCAATAAGTAAAATGATCATTCTATTTTTTTTACATAGATTTATTATTATGGAAAAGAATTTAACACAAATAAATTTTTTAAAATAATTTGTATGAATATATGAAATAATAATGCTTTAGTTTCAAACCCTTTTAACTTTCAGTGGAGCCACAAAGTCTAAGATGGTTTTGATCAGATCTGATGGAAAGATTGTCGCATGGAGTGAAGGACCATGTACTAATCAGTGGGTATGTATACAAAATAATGACTAGTGAGAATTGTGTATTGTATATTGCTTGACATTAACTAGAATTATATAAATAGATTTTACTTCCATATATATTTTACAATTATATAAGACAGTTCAAAGGAACAGCTATAAAAATAAAGAATTTGTATGATTTTCCAATGAGACAGTCTATTCAGCAGAGACCAAAGGACGAGGATGTATACAACTATAGGTCACTGTATGGCCTTCAAGAATGAGCAAAGCTGGCCTTCAAGAATGAGCAAAGACCAAACTGTATAGTATTAAAGCTATAAAAGGCCTTGGTATGACAAAATGTCAAACATTAGTCAAAAGAGAAAAACAACAGCCTGATTTAATAACAACATCTGAATTACAGGCTTCTGACTCTAGACAGACATGTGGTGGGATTTAACATGTTGTGAGCTCTCAACCCTCCCCTAGACTGAGACAGTGGACAGAGACAACTTTGTAATTGTGGATTACAATTTCTTTAAAGATAAGGAGATGTGATATGATTGAAGATGAGACAACTCTCAACCAGAGACCAAATGACATAGAAAATAGCAGATAGCCTTGAACAAATGAACAAAACCCATACTGCATAGCAAGCTGTAAAATGCCCTGAAATGACAAATGTAAAATATGCTAATTTATATGTCTGAACAATATTCATTTCTTTTTCTCTTAAAGATTTTGGTTGACCACATATGATTTAAATCATTACACATTATTGTGGGATAGCTTTATATTATGTTAATTAGTAATATATATTATAAGTATACCTTTTTTATAGCTGATTGGTCAAGAGGAATGTCTAAAGCGAGTGAATGATATGACACAGGAAGCTAAGAAATCTGCTGGTTTAGATTCAGATAAGCCAATTAGATCTTTGGTGTGTATAAAAATAACAAAATTTCATTAACATACATCTCACATATATAGATGGAGTCTGACTCAAAGACAGCCCCCAGTTTTCAGCTTGTTTGAAATTTTTTGCTAGATGTTAATCCAACTAAATCTAGGCATTGAAAAACATAGCTATTTGGTAATATCAACAAATTATTAATTATAAAAATAAGAAGATGTGGTATGTTTGCCAATGAGACAACTCTCCACCAGAGACCTAATGACATAGATGTTAACAAGTTTAGATCACCATACAGCCTTCAATAATGAGCAAAACCAATAGTGCATAATCAGAATGAAAGTTTAAAAAAAGTTCTTACAAATACTGTCATAAATTACCTGAAATCTGACTGTAAAATTAAGATATACAAACATTTAGAAAAGTAAACATTGGGCCACATTGAGATATATGAAGGATAATTAGGTAGGAATTTGAAATATATAGAGGGTAAATAATTTGTTTGGGCTGCATACAAACAAAATGGCCAAAAGTAATAAAATGAAGAAGCACACAAAATTCAAGACTAAATACACCATATCTGTAAAAAATATGAACATACACCTCAAGCATACTGTTATAAAATTGCAACTGGGCATTGTATAATAATAATCCACTAAACCCTCCAAGTTTAAAAAATAAAAATATATGTTGATTATTATGTTTTAAAAAAAATTGAAATACCTTTTTTTAATAAAAAAGATAAGAAGATTAAACTGTTGCATGCCACAAATCATTCTTGAACATTTTTACAAAACAAATACTTAATTTAAGTTCAGGCTTGCTGAGACAGGTTGGAATAGCACTGATTAAGTGACACATGAAGTACAGGAGATGCTCACCCTGTTATTGCGTCTTATCATTATTATATTATTATATTACAAGGCATTTTTAAATCCCATTATATAACAATACAATTACTCTAAGCGCTTTACATGTTAAAAAATATACACAAATTCGTACATAGACGAAACTGCAAAGTAAAAAAAATACGTTTAAAAGCATACAAAATCACTTAAGACTCTAAAAACTTCACCAAATTGGATAAAAAATGGATTAAAAGAAATATCAATGAATTAGTAAAAATCTCAAAAATTATTATTTAAACTAAATAATATAAATAGACTTAGAATTTGAATAGTCATAGACTTATCTTTTGAAATTGCTAAATGCTACTACTTTGTATTCATAAAATATGCTAACAACTCATAGTAAAAAGTTCTATCCAAATATACAGAAATACAACAAATCTAATTAAAAAGTACACAATATTATTGTAGCAAATCAACATCAGTCAAACACAATCAATCACAGATCCAGGTCTATACTATTAGCGATCCACAAATGCTACTTTGAATAAATGCGTCTTTAGTCCTTTTTTAAATAGATCAAGTGATTGTTCATTTCGAAGACTTGCTGGAAGGCTATTCCAAAGAGTCCCTGCCACCAAATCGAACCTCCGCTCACCATACATTTTGGGCATGCGTTTTTTTTGCATCTCGATTAGAGCAGCATTTTAAGATCGTAAGGATCGTGCCGGTTTGTAAAAATGTATGAGTTCTCTAAGATACGTAGGAGCAAGTCCATGCAAGGCTTTGAATGCGTACAACAACAGTTTATACTGGCATCAGAATTTAAATGGTTACCAATGAAGAGTCATAAGTGTTGGAGTTTTATGTTCAAACTTCTTTTTGCGGGTTACTAGCCTGGCAGCTATGTTCTGAACACGCCGAAGCGTTCACACCATACATTAAAGCATTACCATAATCCAGTCGTGACGTAACAAGAGAGCATACTAGAGTTTTGCAAGCTTCCTCCGTTATATGTGATCGAATCCGTCCTATGTTACGAATCTGATGAAAACAGGATTTGGTAATTGCAGAGGTCTGTTACTGCATGCTGAGGGTTTGGTTGAAATAAACACCAAGATTTCGAACACAGGACAATTCACTAAGTATAGTTCCATCAAATTTCAGTTGTAACTGACCGCGACTTTTGACTTTGTGTTTTGGAGCAAAAAAAATCAATTCGGTCATGTCCTGGTTCAACTTTAACATGTTTGTACACATCCAAGTTTTGATATCTTCCAAACAAGCCTCTAGACGCTCGGAGATGTCATCCCAGTTATCTAATGGTTTGATGGCTTGGTAAATTTGTTTTGTCTTTATTCCATTGGTAGTTTACATAGTTCTCTCTGTTTTCACTCTTATATGGGATATCTTGAATGGACTGTTTAGATTATGATGGCTTCAGTACTACTCATTTCATACAACTAGCCATTTAAAACATAAAATAAGCTTAAACAACTTTATATCAGATGAACTTACTGTAGTTAGCCGATTTCTGTCTTTCATGGAATTTAAAATAGTTTATCAGACGATTTTGTTTTATTGCTAAAGGATTTTCTCAAATTTGGTATTAAGACCTTACATGTACAATGTATGTTGTATTATTTATGAAAAAAAAACTGAGATGCAAAATCTCAAATGATTGTTAAAGAAGTTTTTATAGAACTAGCTATTAAGATATTATGCATTTTTAACATTTTTCAGTTTTTGTAGGGTGATTAATTCACTGTTGACAAATGGCCATTCAGTTTAATGTTGGGAGCTTAAAATATATTAATATTATATGTTAACTTTAGTAAATTGAATAAAAAAGATTTTGGTGCTTCAAGATTTTAAACTTTCAAAAAAGAAAAATTCTATGGCCTAAGTTTAGATCCGAAAATAGTAAACTGAATTATTGATATTGTTTTTATTGCAGGGTTTATGTATGAGTGGAGCTGATCAGAAAGAAGCACAACAACAATTGATAGATGGAATGAAGTCAATATATCCAAATGCAAGTCAAGATGTGTCTGTATCTAGTGATACAACTGGTGCCATTGCAACAGCTACTGCATTAGGTTGTTATCTATACCTCATGGTCACTGAGGCTGATTGTTTCTATAATATTGAATCCAATAATATATGGTTCCATGTCCTTTCATTTAAAATAAGGGAGATAATTGACTACTTCAAATTTATAAAATGTGACATCTAATTTGGAAAGATATCTTTATACTGATTCCAAGAATATATGTTGTTCAGGTACTGGTACTTTATGTGGAAAAAGTGGTTATACAGGGTAAGCTGCAAAAGCACAATAACGGTTCAATATCATATATACGTAGGACTCGCATCCATGGGCGGGTTCCAGATGTATGGCAGATTTCAAATCTATGGTAAATATGACGTCATGCCATCCCAAATCTATGGCAGAATTCTAAGAATCCAAATCTATGGCACATTTTCTAGTTTCCTAATCTATTGCGGTTTTTTCTAGTATCTAAATCTATGACAGATTTTCTGCAAATGGGGGATAAGTCAATATATATCTGACCAAGGACTTGCCTTAAACAAATGCTTTCTCAAGAAATCTTACTCTCTCCAACGGGACAGGTATTCAACACAAATATAGGTGAAATTGATGTAATCGAAAATCTATGAGAGATTTGTATTTGTTTCCTAATCTCGAGAAAGATTATTTGCTACATAAGTACAGTTAGTTGCTGAAATAAAGCTGACAAAAGGCAACACCAGAAACACAGTGGACAAAAAACAAGGAGCTTTACTTTTATTCTTACAACACAAAAGACAAATCTTCTAATAGATTCATAAATGCTGTGATATTTTTTTTGATCTATGAAGTGATTCTTTTTCACCAGGTCAATTAATTCCTCATTTAAAAGACATTCTCTATGTGGAGTGGCTAAGCTGTTACTTTTTCGTACAAATGATTAGAATTTGAATCGAAAAAAAAAGTTTTTTCTAAATATATTCATACAATTCTATCATTTAACTATTTATTCAAAAACTTGATAATTTTTGAGTAACCCCATTTAGGATTTTTCTTTTTTAATTTGCAACTGGACAGTACCTTTGCATAGTCCCTCAAAAACAACATAATATTACGTTATTAAATTGTGATGTTGTAGTTTACTCTTTTTCCCGGAAATTACGCAATTTCAAAATCTGCCATAGATTTGGGGAAAACAAAAAAATGCCATAGATTTATGATTTTTATGGCGTTTGTGACGTCATATTTGCCATAGAATTGAAATCTGCCACAGATCTGGAACCCACCATAGATTTGAGTCCTACATATATACCAAAAATCTTATCGACATGTTTAAGTAAAATGGCATAAGAGGAAATAAATATAACAGTAATCAGAACAAAATGAAAAGGTCTTTCCAAAATGGTTGAAAGACTTAATGAATTATCATCATAATGTGATTATTATATGTAAAGAGATTTTTTCAGTTTCTTTTTTCTTACAGGTGGCATAGTACTTATTTCAGGAACTGGGTCTAATTGCCAGTTAAACAACCCAGATGGTAGCATGTATAGGTGTGGTGGTTGGGGTCATCTCCTTGGTGATGAAGGGTCAGGTAGGCTGTACAAAACATTTTTACATATGCATGAAAATATTTGGTTATATGATTCTTACATATTCATAGTTTGTCAATAATGATGATGGTTGAATATGTGGGGGTTGAACAAAGTTTACATTTGAGGACACGGTTATTGAGCACGAGGTTGGTTGTTATGATATGGCAAACAAGAGAAAAGGATATATCAATCAAGCCTTATTTAGTTGAAATCTCACATAGTTTGTCGCACCAGGGTTTTTGGTCATAAAACTAAGTACTCACAGTACAAAATTTGTGCTGGAAACACCAAATCCAGGCTGTGTTTTGATTGGTTGAATTTTTGTTCTGAGTATTATAACAAACTCCAAATTATTATCACTGCAAGCACGGGTATAATCCAGTCTTGTTTAATTTATGTTTACCTCTGATAAATTGAACTTGGTAAATTTAATCTGAGTGAACTTTGATATATTTTGCTGTCCCCTTTAAGAAAATATTACCTGAATTAACCACAATCTGTTAGAATACAAGAAAAGTTTGATACAAAAAGACATTTAAATCATTTCAATAAACCAACATTGCAATTACAAGTTGAATATTTTAAGGAGATATCTTTTTTATTATTCATCAATAAGAGTTTCCTTTAATAATATCTCAATCTATCTGTTTATATAACAATTAGAATTGTATGTTAATTGTTAGGGGACGCCTTTGAAGAAAATTGTGTTTGTTACACAAATTAAGCATGATCAAAAAAGAGGGACGAAAGATACCAGAGGGACAGTCAAACTCATAGATCGAAAACAAACTGACAACGCCATGATTATGACAAGAGGCTTGTGACGTTGATTAAGTTTACAAAAGTTTATGATTTTCAAACCTATTTATTATTTTATTCAAATTTTAATTATTTTGTTTGACCTTTATTGTAATAGATTATAAATTGGGACTTTTAATTTTTTTCTTCCATATTTTAGCTTACTGGATTGCACAGAGAGCCATAAAAACCATATTTGACCATGAGGACAATCTTTGTGTATGTCCATTTGATTGTACATTTGTATGGAATACCATCAAGACATATTTTAAGGTAAAAACTTATACAATGTTCATATACCTTTTTTAGTTTCAAATACTTATGTTGATTGATTGATTGTTGGTGTTTAACACCACTTTCAGCATATTTGCTGGCAATTTTTATTGTTGGAGGAAGCAGGAATACCTAGAGAGAATCACTAACCTTCAGCAGGAAACCAGCAATCCCAGTCAAAAACAGTCAGTAGAATGCACCCACTACGGGCAGTGTTTAGACTCAAAACCTTAGAATTGACTGACTAGAGATCATTGTAGAATTTAGAATGTGGACCCTTGCTGACAAGTCAGGTTTAATAGTTTTGACAATTTTCTTCAAAGATCCATATGTGATTAGGCCAAAAAAAATAAATGTCTGTTTAAGGTTACATCATAACAAAAAATAGATGTAGGTAGATCAGTATTTCTATTTTATTTTATTTTATTTTTTTGTGACATGATTTTGATTTGTGCGGTCTGTCTTTCCATGGTCAGAGTTGTCCATAGGCCGAGTTTATCTGCATTTTTAATGATAATTTCCCTTAGTTATTGGTTGGAGAAAAAAAAATGGCGGCAAATTTTTATTTCATCACTAGAATCACAGCTGTCATATTCACAGTTATGAACATATGGATGTATCGGGCAATTGATTAAATTTATTGGCAACTCTTAACTTCGCTTTTGAAATGAGTTCTGTTAATTTTTCACTTTACGAGGGAAAGAAAATGGCTTAGGGTCAGTGATCAAAATTAGGGTTGGTCGGGTAACCATAAAAAGACATATTTTTTTTTGGCCTTACCTTATTCTGATTAAAATTTGCCAATGATGTCAGTATTTTGCAAAAAGTCTTAATGTACATGGATTTGTACTGAAGTTTATGCCATGCACAACATGTATCTAATTCTAGGGTACATTAATATGCTTAATTCAATGGTTTTAAGTCATTTTCTTATTTACATTAGTTCTTATTTGATAATACTTATAGTTTCTGAATTTTTTATTTGTTTTAAAACCTAAAAATAGTAAACGTTTTGTATTTCAAATTTCATTTCTTTAGTAAACTACAGAATATTGACACGATGCCTTTGAAGATATTTTGAAGATAATACAGCATTTTTTACTGAGATATGTTTTTCATTTCTTAACTACACAGATACAAGACAGGAACCAAATTCTTGGAAACTTCTACACAAATTTTGACAAGTCATTCATTGCAGGGATGTGTAAAGAATTAGCAAGAGGTCAGTGGTATGTATAAAATGTCAAATGAAATTTGAAATACAGTTTTTGAAATAAAAAAGTTTTGTGTGTTCACTGTGTTGCCTTGGTATGTACTTGTCATTAGTTTGGAAACAGTATTTTTATGCCCCTCTGCTAGGTGTCTGGGGGGGGGGGTATTAAGTGTTACCCATGTCTGTCCCGAAAGTCCTGAATGTCCCGAAATTGGTTTCCATTCTCTAACTTTAGTTTGCCTCAACCAAATGAAAAAACTTAAACACAATGCTTATTACCACAAAACACAGATCAGCTTTGACATTGGGTGGCGTCACTTTTACTGTTCATGAGTTATGCTCCTTTATAAACATAAAAATTGCTGAATTTTTCGTTTCCATTCTCTCACTTTAGTTTGCCTCAACCAAATGTTATAATACATATACACAATGCTTGTTTCCACAAAACACAGATCAAGTTCGAAATTAGGTGGCATCACTTTTACAGTTCATAAGTTATGCCCCTTTATAAACATAAAAATTGCTGATTTTTTTGTTTCCGTTCTCTAACTTTAGTTTGCCTCAACCAAATATTATAAAACTTATACACAATGCTTATTACAACAAAACACAGATCGAATTTGAAATTGGGGTGGGGGGCATCACTTTTACCTTTCTTGAGTTATGCCCTTTCTAAATGGAAAAATTGCTAAATCTGTCGTTTCCGTTCTTTAACTTTAGTTTGCCTCAACCAAATCTTATGAAACTTATACACAATGCTTATATAATAAAAAAAAACGGTCTTAACAATGTGAATCCTGCATCTGTATGTGGAAGTTGACTCGTGCATATTTACAAGTGTGTAAATTTTTTTTTGTGGGAGGAGGGGGGATCAATTCGCAACAGCAAGGCAAAAAATAGAATATAAATTCAAACCAATTCTAAGTTCTTTGACTACATTTATTCTGTGTCAGAAACCTTTTATGTGTCAAATATTTAATTACAATCCAAATTCAGACCTGTATCAAGCGCGAATATTGCATCCATTTTTGCCCCAACTGTTCAGGGTTGGACTTCTGGGGTCGTATCCAGCTGCGCTCGGCGAAGCAATTTATTGAAAAATGTCACCCAATCGCGAAATTCCGTTATATTTCAATTTCTCGATTGTCAACCCCACTAAAACTTGTTATGCCTTAAATCTAAATTGATTTATCTTCACAATAGTGTGTAACACGCCTACCTTTGTTGTCGGAATCAATCGTAGCAGGCCTCCCAAAGTATGTCAACCGTAATTATTTCGTCTTCCAACAGCAGGGTGACATTTTTCAAAAATGCGAGTTAAGTACCTTGTGTTATATTAAGGTATGCCTGTGACAAATACTCAACAAAAGAATAGGACACGATGTGTTGCTTCACTCTTCACTAAGTACACGTACATTTGAGATGATGGGGAGGAAAATTATATAATAGTCAGTTATTTAAAAAACTTACAAGCACTAAAGATAGTAAAGTTAAATCACTGTTATATAACAAATACGATTTTAGTTTAGAGACTGCAGTATACACAGACCATGGTTTGATCTATTCATGGTCCTATTAGCTTACCTGTGATAAATGTAAATAATGGATATTAATTCCTTTACAAAACAAATAAAGACACAAACTATGTATGGTAGATAGTTATTCACATAAATATTTCAGGACATTTTATTTATTTTAATAAATATAGGATTTAAAAAATGAAACAAATATAAGCATTACATAACCAGCTGATAATTTTTTACACAAACATCGTGCTGATGTAACTGATAAAAATCATTCCAGCCCTTTCTTATATATAGCAGTGGTCAGGGCTAGTAACATCTCAGGATTAGGTTTACTCTTTATTGCAGAATATTCAATGAATATACATTTATTGTCTAATTGAATATATCGAATAATGGGATATTTTTTGCTGACATTTTGGGTATCCGATTTGCTGGAGTCTACTGTACATGCATTTCAGGGATTAAATGTAGAGGTATGATAATAGCCATAATTTGGCCCCTGATTTTGCAAAAATATATTATAAAAATCATGTTAATTTAATTGATAAATGAACCAGTTAATATAATCTAGACAATTTAATGCAGAAAGGTCTATTGTGATGTCATTATAATGTCATAAGTGTGTTGGAATTGACATAATTGACAAAAAAATGGCATTATACACATAGTATTTTAGGGCAAAATAGATATTAGGCAAGATCAGCCATTACCCAAAAAGATATTTTACTCACATTAAGATCTTTATAACATAGACTTTGTAGCAAAATGTCTTATTGTGTAAAGCCTTGGTTCATATCTAAATATTAGTTACAAGAATATTTTAGCAGTTTTGCACTACTTTCAAAAGTTTGAAACTTTAATGTCAATATATAAAACAAAAATCAAAACTATCAATACTGACATCTGTCAGATAAATGTCTTATGAATATCTGAATGATTTTATTTGGTAGATTTATTATAATACTATTTGATTTTCATTTCAAGGGACCAAAAAGCAGCCTTACCATACCTTCTCCTTTATCAATTACACTCAGACTGAGTTAGCACAAAAAATAAGAAAAGCAGAGCATAAATTATTAAATTTGGATAAAAAAATGGCCTATATGGAAAAAGTAAAAACTGTGACAAAGAGGAGTGAATCTTTATAGTTTTATTAATTGTCAACAGATATGAAAGCATTTAAATGAAAAGAAGAGAAAACATAATACTGTTTGTCTATCAAATTAATATTCTTATAGGTTCATACTAAATATTCAGTAAATTTTCAGGTGCTTCAGAAAAGAAGGATAAATTATGTTTACAGTTATTCTGTGATGCTGGAGATATTCTTGCCAGACATATTGTTGGCTTGGAATCAAAGATAGACCAGGTAAGATTTTTTTTCAGCTGGTCTTTGCAGGCACCTTTGCAGGCACCTTTTCAGAAACCTTAACACCTTAAACATTATAGATCTAAGTCATGAATTATATTCTAATCTTAATGTTGGAGACTGGAATACATACCATATAGTCGGCTATAAAAGGCCCTGACATGAAAAATATGAAACATTTCAATTGAGAAAACTCTCAGCCTAATTGATAACAAAACAATTTACACAAAACAAATATGACGGGCATGAACCAATGACAACCACTGAACTACAGGCTCCTGACTTGGGACAGGCACATGTAGAATGTGGCAGGGTTAAACTAGTTTGCTGGCCCCAAACCCTCCCCCTAACCTGGGACAGTGATTGATTGATTGATTGGGGTTTAAGGTTACTTTCAGTATTATTGTGCTATTTCATGGCGGTCAGTTTTTATTGGTGGAGGAAGCCGGAGTGCCTGGAGAGAACCAGAACCTTAGGTAGGAAAACTGACAAGCCTAGTCAATGCAAATTATGGCTATTATTTGAGTCGAGCCCACCTTCCACGTGTGGGATTCAAACTCACAACCTCAGTGTTGACAGGCCAGTGATACAGTAGTTTGACTACTTAGACCACTTGGCCACCTAGGCCCCTACATGGGACAGTGGTGTAACAGTACAACATAAGAACAAACGAAAACACAGACCAGACATGGCAGTGTATCTATGCAACCCACAACAAAAAAGACACCAAGTAAAGATCTGAGTGTACTCACAATTACTGAGAGCTAGTTCAAAGCCAATACCAACTAATAAAAAAATCATGTATCTAAGACTGAAATATCAATTGTTACACATCCAACATACAATGGATTGAGTGTAAATAGTTATTTTGCCCAAATTTTTTTAATTACTTTCTTAAGCTGATATATATGGCATACAGCTCAAAACCAAAAAAAAAAATATTAATATTTTCTCGCGGTTCGAAGTAAAGCGGGAAAATATTGTATTGACGTTATGGGTAATATGCGTATGGTCCAATCAGAGGGGTTGATTTAGATCCGGGTATGTAGGTATGTTTGATTTGTTTGTCACTTTCTAGCCGCCGTTCGTACGTGCATGACTTAAACTTAAGTCATATATATATATATATGTATATATGTATTCATTTCAAGAAGTTTTGTTTTTTGTCATCTCTCTCGTTATAGAAGGTGAGGTCCGACTACCTTTTTCCTGAGATAGGCTTGTGCATTGTCGTCGGATACAGGTTTCCACTTAACAAAATATGGTTTTTCCTGGACGGCCTCGACTATCCGTGAGGGAAATATATATTTTGGAAAGATTTAAGAGAGAATGTTCATTTATAATGTATAGAAGCATTGAATTACAACATGTTTGTTATTTGTTGTTTAATAGAAACAATATTGTATTTGTTATTATAAAATTACATCCGGCGTCCATCAAATACGGCGGGCTGTCGGCAAATTGATATTTGCGTTTGTGTTGTTTTCTTTATAGGCATATGTAGTATAGATAATACATGTATTTTTAATGTTAAATAGTATGTACATTATTTATTTGTTGAAGCATTTTAAAAGATGCTTCATTAAATTTTTTTTTTTATTTCCTATTGATGTTCAGTCTCTGCTGGATGGAGAAAATGGTCTGAATATTGTGTGTGTTGGTTCTGTATGGAAGAGTTGGGATCTTCTACAACAAGGTAAATGGAATCATTGATCGTCTAAACCAATTGGTTTACATGGACTTATTCTCCAATGACATTCTGTTGTTAACTTGATATTTTCTTTTATTTGCCTTACATTAATTAGTGGTTGTTTTATATCCATCAGCCTAACATCTAATGTCTGTCAAACGAATTCTAATGAATGAATATGTTCATATGTTGTGTGTATATTATCTTTTTCAGAATAATTCAGTTCTGCACAACAGAATATTTTCAGATACCAATAATATTTGTATGAGAACTTTAAATTAATTCAGTGACTAAACTAATTATTAGATTTTTAATTGAATTTGCTATTTTATGTTTCCATCATATGATTTTGGGATGTTCCAAAGCTAAGCATAAACATTACCATGAGTTTACCAAATTTAACATCAACTTTGCCATGGGTTTAATACTCAAAGCTAAACATTAACTTTTCTGTATTTACAGAAAGAGGTGTGTTTCTTGATATGCAAATCTATCTAAACCACTGACTGCATTTCAGTCAAAATTTCACAGAACCTTAAATTTGTTCTATAATACCAATGTGGACTTTATTTTTTTATTTTTTTATCTAAATGATTTTTGTGTTACCAATAGCAAAGCATGAACTATCTGTCTATGAAAAGGAAAGCATTTTTGTCGCCTCCTACATCATTTAATGGAATTCATTGAAACTTCAAGAAAGTCCCAAGACATGTTGTGCATCTCTTGTTTTAGTTTTATACAAGTTGTATTTTGGGGTTAGTTAAGCAAAAAATTTAGTAAGCCATATCTAAACATGAATCAAGCAAAATATTGAGTAAGTCATATCTAAACATGAATCAAGCAAAATATTGAGTAAGTCATATCTAAACATGAATCAAGCAAAATATTGAGTAAGCCATATCTAAACATGAATCAAGCAAAATATTGAGTAAGCCATATCTAAACATGAATCAAGCAAAATACTGAGTAAGCCATATCTAAACTAATAGGGGAAGTGAGAGATTTGAATTTATAAGCCAGGCTTGTTGCAATTCTGTTTGGTACTAGAGTCAAATAAGCAGTGATCTGCACATGACTAATTTTGTTCCTGGCCATATGCAGCAACTTATTGATCACATGTGCTCAGATATTTAATTTACAAAAGGATGTGCGGCAATCACCATACTTATCCAGAACATCATTAATAAAAATTTAAACCAGTTTTTTTCATTTGCCTCTTCCAGTAGTTGTTGTATGTAATATCTTTATTTTTTTCATATTTAGAGAGGGTGGTACAGGGTTATTTTTTGCAATTTTTATTTCACGTGTTGTTGTGCTGGAGGCTCATTTATTCACTGTTTTGCACAAATTGGTAAAAAAAGCAACATGCAACATATTTGCAATTTTTCGTTCATCTTAAAATGGCCATTTAATTTCCTGTTCTTCCATACACATACCTCTCTTTTATGGCTCTATATAGATAATTGGTGTTATTTAATAGAAAATATTTGATTGTTTCTGGGAAATTTTATTCACAACTTTTATAAACTCAGAAGGATTTAATTTGACATATTGTGTAGACATGTGTCTATTGTTGAAAACTGTGCATTATCTAAGGGATGTCTTTTGTTTATTTTGTTTGTTATGTTGCTGTCTCACTGATGTATCCCAGGCATCATCTTTGGTTCATATGCAGAAAACAGTACATGGTGTAAAAATTTCTGTTTTACCTATAATTTTATGGACAAAGGGAAATCACTCCATATAAAATATTGCTTAAACGTTTCTTTGCAATACAATGTTTAATACCATGTTCACAATACAAATTGGAATTAATCTTTATCCACTTAGTGCTCACAAGCACTTTAATTTATCTTTTCTATTTGAAGGATTTACAAACGTTTTAAAGACAAATTGTGACAGAATACAAAAATTTTGTCTCCTTGACCTCAACCAATCAGCAGCTTTAGGAGCAGCCTGTCTCGGTGCCAGAGATATTAAGTTTACACTTCCCATGGACTATAGTGCAAATGCCACAATCTTACATAAAGCAGTATTATGATGGATGACATGGAACATCAGGGTCATAAACAGTTTTCGGACCAATATACATTACCAATGGACAACAGTTTTAATGCTAGTATCACAAAATATATTATTTAATGTATTAGAGCTTCAGGGATATATTTCTCGCCATGCAGGATGAAGTAAAACTTTAAATGGTGCAGTTGTTAAATGTAGTTTTTAGTAATAAACATGATAAAGGGTTTATGATGGACCTGGAAATCCATGAAAATTCCAATTATTACAGAAAGAAAATTTGATACTGTAAATTTAGAAATTATTGCGTGCATTTATTATTGCGATTTTTGTGGAAAGGACACAAAATGAGATTAATTATTGCGATTGCAGGAAAATCTGCATACAGTTATATATATCTGATATCAGAATGCGAGTTATTATTATTGTGATACTCACTCAATCGCATTATTCGCATTAATAAAAACCTCGCAATAATTTCTGAATTTACAATATATCAAACTCACAAAAAATTGAATTATGTAAGAAAGTTTTTGCTTATAATGCCAATTTGTCATAATAATTATGTACTCCTAACTCAATTTTTTTTGTATTTACCAAATTTGGACTATTTTTAAATCATTTTTTGATTTTAGAGATATTGGCAGAATGCTCTTACCAAATTGATTTTTTTGTGATAATGTGTATCATACCTTTATACATCTTTTGTTTACAAATTAATTTTGGTCATTAAATTTTCTAAAAGTTCTCTGAAAGGACATTTTGCATATAAATTGTAAAATGGAGATGTTTTCATGATCATGATAATTATACAGTATTTGGAGACAAACTTCTGTGAATATACTTAACTTGATGAATCAAATTTGTTTACAAATATGACACTATCAATGCTTTAATTTATGTTTTTTTACTTGAAGGATTTACAAACATTTTGAAGACAAATTGCAACAGAATTAAAATGTTTTGTCTCCTTGACCTTAATCATTTGGTCTCTGTTGGAGAGTTGTCTCATTGGCAATCAGACATTTCACCTCTTCTTATTTTTATGATTATAGATACACTATAGGCTTCTTTAATCTTTAATGCTAAAAAAAAGTATGTTCTTGGACATAGTCCTTGGTGCTATTGGTTTTGCTAAGGATGTTTTACAGTTAAATGCATTATTTATTGATTTTCAGTTATAGTTCATTGAGCCTTAGTTGTATGCAAAATTTTACCAAAATCTGTGACATAGCCCATTTACTGTACCTTGTCCTTTAGGGAACTCTACCAACAAGAAATTTATAAGGGTTTCAGCAGTTATTTTTGTACATGTAATAGAATTATGTAAGATTTACAATATCATTTAAAATTATACCATGTAGAGTTATTTATAGCTTTCTGTCTATCACTTTACTAGCTTTTGCTTAAAAATGCCAATTGTAATTTAAATGAATGGTTTTTGTCTTCTGTAAGTTTTTTATGCAATTTTGTGAACATCATGAATCGTATTGGGTCATTATATTTATATATATAACCCACATGAACCTATCAGATTAAAAGTTTTCAGCTCTAAATCATATTGAGAAATCATAATTAAGTCGACTGTTTCATATTTTTTTTAAATTGTAAGCAGTATTTTGATATTATGTTTTGTTCATTGTGATGACTTTATTTTGTAGCAGGGGAAGGTGCAATGCAACTTCTGTGAAACAATACAGAAATTTAAATCATTTTTTAAATGCTGATAACATAATGTGTCTGATGCCATATTCTTTTGTTCAAAATTCCTTCTGTGAACAGATAGTTCATAAACTTTAGGAAAAGAACCTTTTAAAATTATTCTGCCTTAAAAAGTATTTAAACAATTCATCAATCAAGAAAAGCTATATAAAAAAATGGCTAACTAGTTGCTGCCACATAGCATCAGTGGCTTTCTTGGAAATTGACCTTTTAGTGTCTGCATAAGATAATAATATAATAGCTAGTATAGGTAATGGTACAGGTACATTATTCAAGGAAAAGTAGAGGCTAAAGAAGAGGAAAGAATAATTAATTTAATGTCAAATTCCATAATGATATTGCTTGATAATAAATTTACAATTTTACTTATAATATATTATGAGACTATGTTAGACATATAGTAAAGCAACTTAAAAATATACTTGTGTTTAGTTTTTTTCTTGTTGAAAAGTAGCAAAGAGATAAATTTGTGGCAGTGTGAAAAAATGATCATTTGTTTGTTTGACTTGAACACCACTTGGCATCCAGTTTAATTGATGTAGGAAGTTGGAGTACCCAGAGAGAACCATTGAACTTCAGCAGGGAAACTGGCAGTCCTTGTCAATAAGATATGTGTTAAACATACCTAGCATGGGTTCCAACTCACCTCAGACAAACTAGTGATAACTGTAGATGAAATATTAAGACCACTTGAGCTCTGTCTAGGCCCCATCATACCATTGTTGTTTAAAATATCCTACTATTAGGTGAACCAGACTTTGTATGGAGGTTACTATGATGTGTAGTTGTTAGCAAGTCATTATCACATATTTAGTCTCATTTCCATGTTATAATGATCATGTTTTTGACTCAGTTTGTCACTCAGTAAAATTAATTAGGCCAAGTAATAGTGGAAGTAAATTTAATTACTCTTTGTAACAGTCAAAAGGACCAAAAAGTACATGCCTGGAATTTGAATTTCAGAAATGAACTATGATGTAAATATGTAAGACTTGAATCTAAGAGGTGTCAGGTATAGGTCAGAGTGACATACTTTTCATTGATTTGTTATGGGATGCAGTTTGGATATACTCACAAAACTCAACTAACAAAGTTAGTTGTTTTTGAGACCCAAATCAGGATATTATTTCTGATTTGCCTCAACTGTATTTGATTAATCTAGTATTGTGTGAGACATATGGAATACATTGTTAATTAATGACAGCTTTACATGCTTCAGCAAAAATTGCATGCGTTTTCAGGTTAAGGTTCATGTGGACCCTTTGGCTAAAATGGCTGCGTTTTCACCTCAAAATTTACTCTGAGCACACTAACCTGTGCATCTGGGAAAGTGTTAAGGCATAACATGCCCTAGATAAATAAAATTCAAAAGCATTTTATGTTTTAGAAAATTTAAAACTTAACTGGATTTTGCTGTGCACTTTTTTCATCCATGCAGAAGATGATAAAATCAACAAACAGTTGAGTTTCACTTGATATGGTCCACTCAGGTACACAGTTTAATTCACTAATTATTGTCATGTATCTATTGTCTTTTTACTGCCCATGTCAATCAATACAGTTCACTTCAATTATTACCTGTGGGGATGTTCTCAAACCTCTTTCACAACTTTGTTTATTTTGGCATCTTCTGGTGGAATGAAAAAAGTGCACTGCTAAGTTTTTAATTTTCTAAAAGAGAAAATGTATTTGAATTTTATTTATCTAGAGCATGCTATGCCTTTAAATTTTTCCAGATTCTCAGGTTTGTCTGTAATCCGAGTAAATTTTGAGATGAAAATGCAGCCATTTTAGCCAAAGGGTCCACATGAACCTTAATAAAGTGATATTTAATGGAAATATTGAATTACTCTTCTTTGTACTAGACGAAAACAAAGCAATAAAACTGCTGTTCCTTTGATTTATTTTGTTTCAAGTGTATGAAGTGATTTTTTGTCACGAGTTGACAAACCATATCTTTTCATTTCCACAAAGAATTTTTAACAGAAAGGCAACCAATATTGAAGTTTTATCATCTCAAGGGGATTTAAAACCATCTGCAGTTAAGGGGAACATGCTACAATGAGTCCAAGACATTCAATATGGTTTTACAATATAGCTAGATTCATAACAATTTGAACACTTTTCAGTCCATCATTTCATACCATGTTGACCTTCAGATATTTAGTTTGCATGATTATGCCGCTGTTGTTTTCGAATCTCTTTATGTATGTATATATGTTAACCATTTTGCACTATCACTGTACAAATCCATTTTTAAATGTTATCTTGTACAAAGCAAAGTGTGACCATGTACTAAATATTTTACAAAGATGTTATATTAGGCTTTTCTGAAGAAAACTCAATCACTATATGCCAAAGTATGTTAATCATACTGTTACCCAGTAAATAAAATGCTCCACTGGGCGCAGCTTGATACGACCACAGAGGTCGAACCCTGAACAGTTGGGGCAAGTATGGACACAACATTCAAGCTTGATAAAGCACTGAATTTGGAATGTGATTAAATATTAGACACAGCATAGGTTTCTGACACAGAATGAATGTGGTCTAAGAACTTAAAATTTTTTAAATAACCTATTCAAACCATATCATTATTATTTGCTTTTATATATAAATCAGAAATAACCAATTTAAAATGGAAAATTTTAAAGACAAAAAAAGGAAAAAAAGGAAAAAAAAATCCCTCCCCCAAATTTTTTGAACCCCCTTATGATTCATCACACCCAAACTCAATCCCAGCCTTCCCTTTGTGGTATGGTACCTTGCAGTACAATTTTAGAGAGATCCATACACTTGAACACAAGTTATTGTCTGGAAACTAGAAAAATGCTTGTTTTTATGCCCCTTTTTGGCCCCAAATTCCTAAACGTTTAGGGCAATTACCCCCAAACTCAAACTCAGCTTTCCCTTTGTGATATGGAACCTTGTAGTACAATTTCATAAAGATCCATACACTTACACACAAGTTATTGTCCTGAAACTAGAAAAATGCTTGTTTTTTGCCCCTTTTTGGCCCCTAATTCCTAAAATTTTGAGGCAATTACCCCCAAAATCAATCCCAGCCTTCCCTTTGTGATATGGAACCTTGTGGTACAATGTCAGAGAGATCCATACACTAACACACAAGTTATGTCTGGAAGTTACAAAAATGCTTATTTTTGGCCCCTAATTCCTTAACTGTTGATACCATGTCCCCCAAAATCAATCCCAACCTTTCTTTTGTGGTATTGAACCTTATGGTAAAATTTCATAGAGATCCATTCTTTTAAACTAAAGTTAGAGTGCGAAAACCAATGTGTCTTCGGACGACAATACGAGGGACGACGCCGGATGCCAACGTCATACCAATATACGACTGCAAGGTCGTATAAAAAGCAAGTGAAATACCATTTTTTATGTGTTTATTATAGAATGATTTACCATCAAATAAAATTTATAACAGTGTACACATGATGATGTTTTGGCACCAGTTTAATTGTAACAAAATAACTTCAAAACTTTCACTCAAATATTTATGAATTGCCATACAAATCGATTACCATTCCAAGCTGGCATTTAGATAATTAATTATACTGAACTTTAGTATAAATTTACCCATTAATCCTTTCATATCCATTTTCAAAAAATAACATACCGGTAACCTCAACAAAATACTGTTAATTCAGAATTTATTGCAAGATTTTCATTAATGCTAATAATGAGACTGGATGAGTAACGCAATAATATGCACTTGCATTCTGATATCAGATACATTTAGGTGTATGTAGATTTTTCTGAAATCTTCTTATGGTATCCAGTTATCCATCAAATTTTTTATGATTACTAACTGCTAATTTATATGACACTAATGTCAATTGCAATAATTAATCCTGCATTTTTGTCTTTTCTTCAAAAATTGCAATACTAAATGCACACGATAATTTCTGAATTTACAGTAGACCAATTTCCATCAGTTACTTCATTGGAATTGATTTGTAAAACTTACAATGCAGGACAAAGGAAGTATTTTAATAAACATTTTTAAAAAATGTTGTTCTCGATAAGGTCAAAGGTGCATAAATATGAGATCTATTGGACTTTTCAAAATTTTGCTTTCAACAAGAGATTGTAGAACATCTAATTTTAGTTTTGTTTACAGAAATAACTTTTGTATTTTTTCCTACTCTATCGTTTGTTAAAATTAAAATAGACAATTGGAGTGTAAAGGGTAATATAATGCTTTAAATGGCTGTAGAGGTTGGATTATTTTAATTAATGCTGCATTATTCCAAAAGTAATCCTACAAGCTTTGTTTTTACTGTATAAATCCTTAGCTACGATTTTGACAAAAATTTCAAATATGATTCTTTTTGTTTCAAGTATAAATAAAAGGGGAATTTTGAAATAACATTTTGTTATAAGCAGTTAGTTTGGCCCAAATTTGTCAAAATAAGTGCAAAAACATCGCTGATGTATTATTGACTTGCAAGTGAATAATCGACCTCATGTGAATCCGTATTCATGTGAACTTCAATTTAACCCCTTAGCTGTAGATGGTTACGCATGTACTAGGTGAGTTTAGCTCTTAAAAGGAAAAGAATGTCAACATTGAAAGTGTAACAAGAGTGAACCATTTCGTTGACTGATTCTATCCACAAAAAATCCTTCTTATACAGGTAAAAACAATGATAAACATATTTTTTTAACCTATAACATAAAATCTAACAGACCTAGAAAATCCTATTGCACATGGTAACTATCTATTTATATTTATGTTTATATTGGGTTATATGACCGTTGGCAGTCTTCAGAGGTCATCTCGATGGTTAATTAGATGGCGTCTATACTAAAATACACACGAAATGCTGAGATATATTATTGAGTCCATGCATTGTTTATTGTTCATTTTAGAATTTTGTAATTTGGATATACATTTTAGTATGTTATAAATCAAATATGAGAATTGGGGTCAAATCGGTGAACATGAATTTGACAGCTAATGCCCCTTTAAAAGGGACAATACGTGTTAGGAGACAAATTTGTACTTTAAGATATCTAATTTTGTATAACCAATTAAAATACAAGAACTCTCTCTTTTAATTTTTTTTTTTTAAAGAGTTCTCACTGATAAAAATTATCTGTTTAATTTTTTTTTTTAAATGAATGGAAATTGGTCTATCTACATGGAAAGAAAACTATTCACCCATAAGCATTCCCTCAACAACCGTATTTTTATCTCTATACTACCAAATATTTATAAAACTAAAAACAAACATTGTAAACAGTGTAATATGCCTACTAAAAACAAACTATACAAAATGAGTATCTTCAAAAAGTGACTAGATATCCACACCAGTATAAAATGGATTTCTATTACAATATAATACTGATAAAAAATAATCTACAAGATCCTGTTTTCTATGTAGACCAATCATTGCATTGGTTGATTTTAACAAGATTTTAAAATGTTATAAGTATACACATGGTTAAGGTAAAATATTGTTTTGCATTGCTTAATCAAAAGATACAAGATACTTAAGATCACTTAATGTTCCAAAAGTTTTTTACTTGCCAAAGATGATTTACAGGCATATCAAATATACAGGAAAACAACTACATTACAGCACTGACACAATGCTGATGTTCCTAAAAAACAAATCAGATGACTTACGTAGTTTTATTCTTTAGACATTTCAAGTGAGAAAGGTTTTTTTTTTCTACTCAAGTAAGCAGAGGGTAAACTGATCTGAAAATAAATATCTGTTAAATATTTAAGTGTAACCCTTCAACTTTAAAGAGCAAAAGTAGGTCAACAACTATTTGCTCATGATTGTGACAAGATATTTTTCAAAGCCAAATTTGTCTTTCTTATCTAAAAATGCTGGAAAATATAAAATAGAAGCATATTTCGAGTAGTATAAGAACCCATTCTTCCAACAAAAATTAAAATATATTAGTATGAATATATTTCATTGGCATTGACAGATATTTAATACATTTTGTATGCAACTGATTTATAATACTGTTTAAATCAGCAGCATACAAAATGTCAATATCCAAGAAATAAATATTACTATACTAATATATCTACCTTTGACTTAATAATATGAAGAGATCTAAAAGCAACAACAAAAATAAATCAACAGTAGAGGATTTAATATTATAGATAGACTGACATTAGGGTCATACCAATAAGTGAACAAACTTGTGACCAATCATGTAAATTAAACATGCTTATTTTCTTATTATCAAAATATAAGACTTCCTACATCTAAGGCTTTAATACCCTTGAAAAATGTTTTGAAAAGAAAAGATTACTAAAAATATTTAAACAATTAACTAACAACTCATGTTCATCAAATGATTTTTTAAACTTATGTTTTTACACTAACATTTTGCTTCCATTACTTTATGATGAATCTAAAGTTGCCAGACTTAGCCTATATCTTGAATAATTTAGCATCGTCAGGCAATATCTATATATTATGTAGAACCAAAATCTTATATCGAAAAATGAAGTGCAAAAAATCAAGGACTAGTATTACAGCTTATACTGTTAAATAAAATAGAAAAATAACAGACAGCAATTAATATATTTGATATATTAATCAAAGTGCTCTCTTCAACAAACAAAAGTGCCCAGTACAAGAAAGAACATAAAAATTGTGCAAAATTTAGGATTACAGGTAAATGAACATGTTTACCTTCTGTGATCTCCTTCACAATGTAAGAAAAATAAAAAATAAAGATAGCAAATTAAAGACAACTTTAAACAAAAACTAAAATATCTAAAAGCACCATTTGACATAGTATATTGCACATAAAAACTATTATTCCTGCCAGAAAAAAGCAATTCATTCTACAAATTATAAACTAAAACTATTGTAAGTAAAGCACAACAATTTTTATGTAATAAGATATGACAGCTCAGATCAACTTCTGTAACCTGTGGGTTTTTTTTTAAATAAAGGAATCATTTACGGTGTCTTCCTCCTATTCCCACTTTTTAAAAATCACTATTCCTTCTATTCCCACATGCAAATAACAATAGATGTTTTGATAAATAATTTGTTTTTATAACAATCAACGTTAATTAAAAATCATCCAAGATTTATCTGTATTTTTTAAAAGAAAACATATTTTTTACTGTTTAAGTATATTATTTAAAAAAAAAAATTAACACACTGTGTATTTGTAAAAGGTTTTTTTCTTCTTCAAAGAATTGCCTTATAATAAAGAATAAGTCAGATAAACAGAAGTAATATACGATTAAAAAATCATTGAATTTATAAACCTAAAATTTTTTCATCTGAACACATAAATTGATGATAGATAATATAAAAACAAACTTTCCCATCTTGCAAGATTTCCATGTACATAAAACGCAAAACGAACCTACCAGTTTTACCCATTCTTGCTAACAGACGACAGCATAGTTTGGTGTGTAATAATCTTCAGAACTCAAAAGAATCTAACTCATTAGCAGTAGCAGATATCATATACTAGTATGGTAAATGTACATTTTACTCCTGTCCAAGGGTATTTTTCAAACTTTACACATTTCACGTAATGGTTGACGGCGCACTGTATCCATTCGTACACAGTTTACTTCCAGCCAAGAGCGAACTAGTATACACAAGATTCATGACTTACTCAAAGATGTATGCCACCAACACCAACTACAACTTCAGCCTACCACTATCTTCTTGGACTATGAAGTCGTCATCCGAAATGCAGCATATCCGTATCTTTAAACTCATAAAACTACTGAAACATGAGGAAGCTACGCCCTGACCATGATCCAGTATATGCAGCCGGTGGGAAGAGAGTAGCCCAAAAACGAAGTATGTCGAAATCAACAAAAGATTAGAAGAGATTACGGACAGATGCCCAGTGAGGAAGTCACAACAGTACAGTATGGTGATGCAGCCTTTCACCTATCTACGTTCAATAGATTAATAAAAATGCAGCCTCATAATTTGTGTTATGAAAAAAATAAAATAATTTACTATATTTGTTTCCATTTCTTTCATATTTATCTAAATTAAAAACACAGAATTCATACACATACAAAATTTACCTATTACCTATCATAAAAAACACTGGTCAATTAAAAGTTGATTAAACAATGTTTATACAGTATAATCCTTTGTTTGTACAAGTTTTCCTCCTATTCCCACATGAAATTTTAACTTTTCTTACCAGATTTATAAAAAGTGGGAATAGGAGGAATGAACCATCATTTACTTTCAAATTAAAAATGCCTGCCTTTGCATGATCATGCCTTTTTATCAAGGGTATGTTATTATTGTTTACAATGCCCAATAAACATTTGACATGCTGTATGTTGTATCAAAAGCATTTTAATTTTGTAGAATATTTGGGAGAGAAGTATGATGAAAACAGTAACCTCCACCATAACATTTTGCAACTGGAATATCATGTATTCATTTATTATTATGTATTTTGAGATGAAATCCAATTCATATACACAATAAAAAAAAATAGTTTTCCTGGTATTACCTCATTACATTTTTATATCATATATCTTTTTATTTGTAAATAAATCTCATGTTTGTGGCATTTAATATTCAATGATTGCTTTCAAATATATAGTTCATATGATAAACATTAATTTAACTTTTCATGAAACATTCTATAATTGGCAGATATAATATAAAAATTGAGACAATACACAATGTTATAACATAGACTAGTAAAAGAAAAAACACACCACAGCTGTAGTGAAATTTCAAAATAATCATTCAATATGTAAATAAAAAGGTTTAGCAATCCTAGAACTATTTCTTAAACAATAAAAAAACAAAAAACAAAATGCATCACAGTTCAATTCAGGATACAAAAAAGAGACATTTTAATATACAATGAAATCATGAAAAACTAAATTTGTTGGGACAACACAAATGCCTCTGCCTATGAAATGACAGAAAATTTGTGAAAAGTTTGTCATCTAGAACATAGCATGTAGTACTCTCTATCTGCAATTCATCAATGACATACAATAAAATCAGCTCCTACAGGCATAACTAAAAAAAGTCAGGACAACTGTTGGTTTATTAAATGACAGAAAGATTGACATAGGTACCAGTCTATGGCTTGTCCACTGAGTGGAGTAGACATACACATTATTAGAGTTTCTCCTAACTCTTCATATAAACAAATAATAATCAACAGTTCACTGGTTTTCAAGCATGATTCATAACAAACAAATTCAAACAATATGTACATTTTGAAACTTCAAAATAAAAATGATTGGTTAGAGATAAATAAGTCTGTTGTACTCAAGATCTGGACATAACAGCATGGTGTTGTACAAATACAATGGCAGCCATTTCTTTACAGAATTCTTCAAATACAATAATAGCCTCTAATCTGCTCTGACCTTCAAGCCTACAAAAGTGTACAATATATATATGTTTAAAATATAAAGTTGTACATCTGTCAAATGCCCATACTAATATCATTTTTTTTAAATTTTTGAATGGAACATAATGCACAAAAGTGGACAAAATTATAAATGCTGCAGGTTTTAATCTCATTTTGTAATAGTAAGTTTCAAAATTTTTACATTTCTAGATATTTTGTATTTTTTCCTTTAAAGTTTACTGATATATAATCTTCTTGCAACACATTTAATTGGCCTCATTTGGATCCATATGCATGTGATCTATGATGTGACCTCAATTGGAGATAGATTGTGCATGTGCTGAGCATGTCCAGTTATTTTGAAAAGGATGTCAGCTGAAAAAGTGAAATTATGGAAGAAAGCAGGAAAACTGATTCGGCTCACAACAAAATTGATTATTATACAGTTAAAATAATAAAATTTACATTATTTTTTAAACCTATGATATGAAATTAGAAAGGACTAGGAAAATTGTGAATCATGTATTGTATATATTATAATGGAAGATGTATATAATACAAATGGGTTTAATATAATTTGCGACATAATTTTTTTTTAAATGAGACAACATGCATTGACAGAAATATTACCAAAACCAAGCAAGCACTAACAGCAGCATGCAATAATACTTGTGCACAGCTCCATTCTGCTTAGCAGGAAATATTACCTTACACTCACCCAGAGTATCATAGAAAAAAATATATAGATGTTGTGATAACAGTGACACAATTATCATATTTTTGAGACATTCTGATGCATGTAAATAAATTCTATTTTGTCTTTTGATGAAAAAATGGATCAATGACTCAAATGACTGGGTTGAGCAGAGTGTTTCTAAATTAATTGAAAACCGTCTATAATTAATATTTAAATATGTAATAAATGGAGAATGTGTCCATGGGACACAGATGATGCCCCCACTTGCATATAACGTTATAAAGGGACATAACTCAAGAACGGTATAAGTGACTATACCTATATTAGTACTTGATCTTAGTTTTGTGATTATAAGCATTATGTATAAGTTGCATAACATTTGGCTGAAGCAAACTTAAGTAAGAGAGTGGGAACCAAAAATTCATCAATTTTTCCATTTGTAAAGGGTCATAACTCTAGAACGTTAAAAGTGACACCAACAAAAATCCAATTTGATCTATGTTTTGTGGTATTAAGCATTGTGTATAAGATTCATAACATTTGGTTGAGGCAAACTTAAGTTAGAGAACGGAAACAACAAATTCAGCAATTTTTCCATTTGTAAAGGGGCATAACTCTACAAAGGTAAAAGTGCACCACCCAAATTCAAACTTAATCTGTGTTTTGTGGTAATAAGCATTGTGTATAAGTTTCATAACATTTTGTTGAGGCAAACTAAAGTTAGAGAACGGAAACCAATTTCGGGACATACAGACGGACGTACAGACGGAAAGGGTAAAACTTAATGCCCCCTCCGCTACGCCGGGGGCATAAAAAAAATGGATAAAACAATTTTGTTAAACAATAATACTATGCGAGGTGCACAACATCAAAAGGTGCAAACATTTCTGTGAAGTTTCAAGGATCTAAGTTGAAAACTGCAGAAGGAGTTGATTTCAAAAAATTGTATTTTTTTTTTAATTTTGTTAAAAAATGGCTCAAACTTTTCTGTTATAGCAGGTGCTCAACCTAAATAAGTGTAAAATCAGTCCATGAAGTTTCTGGGTTGAAAACTATAGTTGATTACACAAAAATGACACTGTTCTTTGAAAATGTTGCTAAACAATGACTGTTGCCAAGTCTGGAAAAATGGGAGTTTCAAAGATCTTGGTTGAAAACTGTAGGTAGAGTTGTTTATAGAAATAGTTTCCCCATTTTCTTTACCACTTAACTATACAATAAAGGATATGTTGGCTAGAGCATCTCAGTAAACTACAGTTTGAAACTTATTTGTGATACTAATTTGCATAAAGTTTCATAAAACTTCAGTTCTAATGCATGCAGGAAAAGTAAATGTTTTGGAAATGTGACAAAACTGAAATACAGATTGATTTTAAGAAACTGTCATTATAACAAAACAAAAATAAAAATTAAAAAAAAAGATTTCTCAAGCTTAACTGGAACAGAGAACAGTATATAATATTATGGGAATGATCTATGGGATGTTATATCAGGGAAAAAAATGGAAAAGCAAACATAAAAAAAATCTTCTGGTTGACAGTATGGCTTTTCATTATATTTTTAATTTGCATAGATAAAAAAATCTCCTTCATATCTTTAGATGAACTCTGTATAATATAATTATCACATTACAATTTAAAAAACTAACATCTTTTTTGACAGACAATACAAAAGACAATTGCTTTACATATACACAAGCTCAATATCAAAGGATAAATTTTGATTCAGATAGTTGCATGATTATTTCATAAAATGATTCACAACAGTGGAAATTTAATGGTTGTCAAATAAACTGTTGAAACCCTTTATTCCTTCATGGTCATGTTTTGACAACCAAGTCGTATAACACTTTTCTTAATCTTAGGACAGCCAATCTAATCAGAGACCATGCAAAACTGAATCAACCAGAATAAAAGTTTATGAAAGGACTCAGTTAAAAATTACTTGGCATAATGGGAACAATGTCACATTTTTTTAACATACACAAGTTAAAGGTCAATTGATTTTTTTTCTTCAAAAGTGCAGCTAGTTGACAATTTCATATATAGTGATTAAGATGATAACACAATGTTGACTGCTGTACCCCTATTTTTGAAATTTTTACCTATTGTGTCTGTTTGTTTTGTTCACGCATCGTTGTCAATATAATGGAATTTGATGCGACTGTCATACAAGTGAGAGGTTTAGCTAGCTATTAAACCAGGTTCAATCCACCATTTTTTTTCATAAGAAAATGCCTGTACCAAGTCAGGAATATGACAGTTGTTATCCATTAGTTTGATGTGTTTGAGCTTTTGATTGTGCCATTTGATTATGACTTATATCTAGAAATTGACTATGAGGGCCGGTTGAAAACAAAACTTTACGACAAAAGAGATGATTTCAGCTTCCCAATTGTGGATTTAAATTTTAAATCCAAGAGTTCCAAATGGTGAAGTTGAAATCATCACTTTGTAAATTTTACGGACCCCATCACGAGTTGGTTGACCGTTATGGAATATCCGTTTCACAGATGATATGGGAAATGTTCCTTATGTCGTAACTACAATCCCGTTCCCTTTTCACGAATGTGACCTACCTAATTAGACTATTTACCCCTATTTGTGACACTTTTACCTATTGTTTTTGTTTGCTTTGTTCACACATCATTGTCAATATAATGGAATTTAATGCGACTGTCATTCAAGTGAGAGGTTTAGCTAGCTTTAAAACCAGGTTCAATCCACCATTTTCTACATAAGAAAATGCCTGTACCAAGTCACGAATATGACAGTTGTTATCCATTTTTTTGATGTGTTTGTTTTTTTGATTTTGCCATTTGATTGGGGACTTTCTTTTTTGAATTTTCCTCGGAGTTCAGTATTTTTGTGATTTTACTTTATACATCTTAGCCATCCAAGCAATAAGCACAACATCAAAATGATGGCTTCAATGCAAATCAAAATTTTCCACCTACAAATCATGCAAGTATCAGATAAGGCCATAGTGCAGAAAGGAGACAACTGTACTGTTTGTGTAGTTGTTAAAGGGAGATAATAAGCCTGCTATCCATTTTTTTTACCCATGCAAGTATCCCATAACTTAAGGCATAGTGAAGAAGGGTGACAACTGTACAGTTTGTGTAGGAGAAAAAACTTACCTGTTGTCATGCACATTCTGTCTCAAACTGTTATACATAAATGCAGTATATTACAATATTACAACTTAGTTTCTAATTTTCATGCTTTATTCACAATCTTGTCAAAATGCAATTAACTCTGACATGCATAGTTTTACTAATCAATCAAAGATAAAGTACATGCCTAAACCTGTAGGTTATCATGCAATAATTCAACTGAACAAATTCTAAAAGACAATTTCATGAACACTATCTAAATTTACAAGTCAAACAAAGTTTTAAATTCTAAAGTCTGTTATAAATGTTCAAAGGAGGAGGTGCATTAAGGGCTATATTTGGCCTAAAAAAATTGAAGTATTACAAAATTATTAGACTTTTTGAGTTAACATGATTGAAAGGTATGTGCCAAGTTTAAACAGTAAATGCTTTCAAATATTTTGAACATTCATCAAAATTTGTCAATAGATTAACATTTTTTTTTTCTTCACAAAATGGCATTAATGCTTATTTTCTTTACACATATTTGTTGGTGGAAAATATTTAGCTCATGCCAGAGCCAAATCAATATTTACATGGGATGTGTTGGTCATATCATCTAGTTGATACATACATTTGTTCAATATTTTCAAATCAAAAACCTTTTCAAAATTAATCGACCATTAATTTTCACAGTGTCATAACTGCAATTAGTTGCAATATAATGGATCTTAAACTATTTGTTTTTAGTTTTGTATTGTCTATTTCAATATACCAGTACACATAAATGTAAATATTACTCTTCAAATTTCAATGAAAAATGAGGTCAAATAATGCCATTATTGTACCATATCCTTCACTTATCTATTATTGTTTAAAATACAGTTAATTAAGAACAACTTTAGTGTAATTGATAATCAAGTACCTGCTAATTGAAGGCATTACCCCTAACAGACTCTTTCTAGCTATCACCAGTTTTTTGCCTAATTCTGGATCTCTGCCTAGCTGAGTTTTTATTTCATTAGCAACCTGTTAAAATATAATTCAACAAGGTCATTACAATAGAGATCTGAACTCTACATGTTTTATGTAGATGTAATTTTCTTAAATTTCAGAACAAATTGTATTTTTGTGGTTTTAATAATTTCTGCAAACAATACTATATAAGATTTGCATTTTGTTGGACACTAAAATTCAGATTTCCATAAAACCCCAATATATTAATAATGAATCCAAAGTATAAGTTATCTTATATAGCTTTATATAGACCCCTTATATTGGTATAAATATAAGTCAAGGCAATCTTATTTATTTTTATCTTCATTATCATAAAAATATTTCAACTGAAAAAATATCATTCCACAGACTTGATAAAAAAATGTTTGCTAGAAGTAATTTGCTATCAAAACTTGGTAAACTGATATATTGGTTTTTTTTTTAAATCCTGGACCATAAAAAAGGAAAGATTGATACAAAATATTTAGTATAAGACTAGAAATATCTCATCTGAAGACCATATCTATTTTTTTATATTGAAGTTTTAATTTGGTTCATTAGATCTGTTCCATAAAAACATACATAGGGAAAGCTCTTTGAAATCTTAATCATGGGTGGGGGTCAAATACAGTGAAAATATACTTCTATAGGTGGTTATCCCATTTGGAAATATGTGTTTGGTTTATTATCTTATGATTGTGGCCTGTTATCTATTTCTTACCTTTTGTAGTACATTAAATAGAGATTTAGCATTGTCTTTAAGACAAAGGTATGGATCCATAAAGAATTCCTGTAGGTTTGGATGTGGTATGGATGCTAATTTGGCTATCACTGATGTCAGTTGTAGATTTATAGTGTAACTCTGAAAATTACAAATGTACAGTAAATTAAAAACTATCAAAAAATTGAAGAAAAAAATATTTCCATTGTGAATGTATTAGATTTTACTGAATTTCATAAAGTGGCCTAGGTTCTGCTCAGAATTTTTAAAGAATTGGTAACAATGTTTGTCATATCTTTGGTGTGAAAAGGTTTCATGACAGGGTGAATGTATGTTGGTTTGAAGTTGCTATGATCATAAAGTTCTTTATCGAGTAACAATTGACAGAATTAACAGGCAAACTTCTTTGACTCCAGGATAGGTTTCCATACTTATTTTCATAGATATTTGTTTCCATATTCATCCAAGTCTTGATGTCTTCAAATCTATATATTTTCACAATTTGTTTTCATAATTATAATAAAGAGAAATACAATTTTTACTAATTCATAAAGATTTATAAATGGCATGATTTTTCTAATCAAGAAAGTCATTCTAATAAATCTCTGCAAAATATAAGTTAGTTTATACATGTAGTACAAAATCAGAACTTCAGGTATAAAACAGTCTAAAGCTGTCAATCCCACTGACCTGGTCTAAGAGTCTGGACAGTTTGTCTAAAATCATCCTAAGGAATGATCCCTCATAGAATGTGCTCATGTGATAAACCTCTGATGTAACTGGTTCTTTAGGCCATGACCAAGGATGGCACATTTCACACATATCACTGTACTGAAATACAGAAATATAGTATTTATTACACCCTGTGCATAAGAACATAGGAATTAACTTCAATTTCACATTTAATTTTTTTACATGTTAATGAGTTTTTGAAATTTTGTTTTCATTTAAAATTGAAGAGAAAAAGGAGAATTCATATCATAAATAGAACCTATTAGCCATTTCAGCATCTAATGCATGCTAGGTAATAGTTTCAAAAGCGTATACCGGATACCACAACTTTGTGATTGGATAACAATATCCTAAACGATGTAAATGCTATCAATAATGGGATAGTATTTCATTTTGGATTACAAACAATGAAATTCCACATGTTCCTTTAGATTCTGAAAGGCGAATTGAAGTTTTTTTATTGAAGGTTTTGAATATTCCCTCAAGTCAGTCCTAGATTTTTTTTTAATTTTCGATATAGTAACATTATCCTTACAAAAATATTCTGACCTATAGTGAAGGTTAATCAAAGGAGCATTAGCTAGGAATTCAACAAAATAATCATATATGAATATTTTTTGTTTCAAACATTTATAAAAGCAGAATATAGAAAAACATTTCCCTATATTAGCAGTCAGTTTGGTTCAATTTCAACAAAATAAGCTAAAAAATGTTACTGGTGTATTATTGACTTGCAAGTCAATAATTCAACTCATTTGAATCTGTATTCATGCAACTTTTTAATATGATCTTTAGAGGAGAAAGTTGCATGTGTGATAATCATGTTGCTCATTCATGAAAAAGAAAAGAATGTCAACATTGAAAAGTGAAACAAGGGAGCAACCAGGAATAACCATTTCGTTGACTGATCCGGCCCACAAAAAATCATTCTTAATACAGGTAAACCGATGATTTACATATATTTTTGTGCATGTGCTCACTATCTATTAATAAATATATTTATGTTTATATCTGGTTTCACAACCTATGGCAGTCTTCGGAGGTCATCTTAGATGGCCACTGCTCTAAAATATGTACGCAAGGCTGTAACACTATAGCAAGCCCATGCATTGTTAATTGTTTCTTTTGGACTTTTTGTAAATTGGATATTCATTTTAGTATGTTATAAATAAAATATAAGAATTTGGGTCAAATCGATGAACATGAATTTGGCAGCTAATGCCCCTTAAAATTGGATTTCTTGTATATTAATAAGACAAGCATAAAATATCTCTATTGTGCAACACATTTCACAAATTTAAAACCTATGTACTCAAAGTGGAACAAAACAGTTAATTATTATTTAAGACATTGCAAGCAGCATTAAGAACACAATATTATTAAAATCTTGAATTAAACACTGCTGAATTTAACGGTAATTTAAGAAATATAAGTTTTAAAGGTTTCAGTTTGACAGTGACACCAAGAATATGGTTCCCTTAAACAGAATATGATAAATCCAAACTTTGTTAACTAGAAAAAATGCAGAATATTGACAAAATAGTTATTAAAAGAGTACCTGTTTGTGGGCATCTTTGAGGTACATATCATACCCACTATCAGCTGTTTGGTAACTGGACTTCAGATCTTCTGGTAGCAATGAGAAATAACTGAAAGTAAATGTATATGTTTTGTTATCTATTCTGGTCAAAATCATTTTTTTTCTGTAGTATATAACAAAATGCTCCGCAGGGCGCAGCTTGATACGACCGCAGAGGTCGAACCCTGAACAGTTGGGGGAAGTATGGACACAACATTCAAGCTTGATACAGCTTTGGATTTGGATTGTGATTAAATATTTGACACAGCATAGGTTTCTAACACAGATTGAATGTGGTCTAAGAACTTAAAAATTTTAAATTGGACATTCACCTATTATGGTCCAATATCCAAAATCTAAATACATGGTTAGATTCAGCATATCAAAGAACCCCAAGAATTCAATTTTTGATGAAATCAAACAAAGTTTAATTTTGGACCCTTTTGACCTCAATGTGGACAAAGTTGATAACGGGGCCCAAAAATCAAAAATCTAAATACATGGTTAGATTCAGCATATCAAAGAACCCCATATATTCAATTTTTGTTGAAATCAAACAAAGTTTAATTTTGGACCCCGATTTGGACCAACTTGAAAACTGGGCCCATAATCAAAAATCTAAATACATGTTTAGATTCAGCATATCAAAGAACCCTAAGAATTCAATTTTTGTTAAAATCAAACTAAGTTTAATTTTGGACCCTTTGGACCTTAATGTAGACCAATTTGAAAACGGAACCAAAATTTAAGAATCTAAATACACAGTTAGATTCGGCATATCAAAGAACCCCAATAATTCAATTTTTGATGAAATCAAACAAAGTTTAATTTTGGACCCTTTGGACCTCAATGTGGACCAATTTAAAAACGGGCCCCAAAATCCAAAAACTAAATACACGGTTAGATTCAGCATATTAAAGAACCCCATGAAATCAAGAATAAAACCCCATTGAAATTGGTCAAGAAATAAGCAATTTATAGGAAGTATCTTCTTTTGCACAATCCTGTGCTATTAAATATTTCTTGCTATTGCGCAATACTGTACAATTGACAATTTCTTGCTATTGCGCAATATTGTGCTATTGGATATTTCTTGCTATTGCGCAATACTGTGCAATTGAAGATTTCTTGCTATTGCGCAATACTGTGCAATTGAAGATTTCTTGCTATTGTGCAATACTGTGCAATTGAAAATTTCTTGCTATTGCACAATACTTATTATATAATAATTTACACATCCTGTTTGGTGTGTATCTCCTACCATATCATTATTATTTGATTTTAAATATAAATCAGAAATAACCAACTTAAAATGGAAAATTTTAAAAGAAACAAAAAAGGAAAAAAAGAAAAAAAAGGAAAAAAAAATAAATCCCCCCCCAAAATTTTTTGAACCCCCATTATGATTCATCACCCCCAAACTCAATCCCAGCCTTCCCTTTGTGGTATGGTACCTTGCAGTACAATTTCAGAGAGATCCATACACTTGAACACAAGTTATTGTCTGGAAACTAGAAAAAAATGTGTTTTTTGGCCCCTTTTTGGCCCCAAATTCCTAAACGTTTAGGGCAATTACCCCCAAACTCAAACCCAGCTTTCCCTTTGTGATATGGAACCTTGTAGTACAATTTCAGAAAGATCCATACACTTACACACAAGTTATTGTCATGAAACTAGAAAAATGCTTGTTTTTTGCCCCTTTTTTGGCCCCTAATTCCTAAAATTTGGAGGCAATTACCCCCAAAATCAATCCCAGCATTCCTTTAGTGATATGGAACCTTGTGGTACAATGTCAGAGAGATCCATACACTTACACACAAGTTATGTCTGGAAGTTACAAAAATGCTTATTTTTGGCCCCTTTTTGGCCCCTAATTCCTTTACTGTTATTACCATAACCCCCAAAATCAATCCCAACCTTCCTTTTGTGGTATTGAACCTTGTGGTAAAATTTCATAAAGATCCATTCACTTAAACTAAAGTTAGAGTGCGAAAACCAATGTGTCTTCGGACGACGCAGGACGACGCCAACGTCATACCAATATACGACCACAAAAATTTTTTTGCGGTCGTATAAAAACTGACCACAGCATTATATCAAAGTCCTCATTTTCTTAACAAGTAAAACGAAATATTTCTTTTAAATGTTTAAATGCTACAAAGTAACAAATGATGAAAATATTGATTGCCATTCAATATTTCAATGAAAATAGCATCTATTCATTCTCTTTTTCCTAAAATTTGCTGGTAGCAAGAGGCATTTAATTTAACTTTTCTTTTTGACAGCATTTTCATTCAGACCATATTAGCCATTTTCTTTGAGAAAATAATAAAAGAACCCCAACCCCTTCATTTTAAAACTAAATTCCACAACTGAACAACAGAATTTGCAAAGTTCTGGGAAAAGGACAAAAGCTCCCCATTTATAATCACAGTATTTTAGATATTTCATGATGTAGATATTTCATGTTCTAATATTTGTATTTCTTTGTCTAGTTATTTTTTAATTTCCAAATAAAAATGAAGACACATACTTTGATGTGTTGATACAAAACTAAACTACTTGTAATGTGCCTTAATACACAATGCTTTATTAATAAATTTGTTAAATTCATATCTAGTCTATATATTGCATAAGTGAAAGGATGATATGTAATTATAACTACAGGAGCTTTTGTCCTAGGGAGAGGGGGACTTTTATTTAGGAAGCTTTTGTCTGGGGAAATATTTGGTCTGTAAATATTCCATTAGTTGTTTACACGATCTTGTCTCCTCATCAGCATTAATCACAACCGAAAATGGTATTCAGCATACTTCATTATTCCATTAGTTGGTTACACGATCTTGTCTCCTCATCAGCATTAATCACAACTGAAAACGGTATTCACCATACTTCATTATTCCATTAGTTTATTACACGATCTTGTCTCCTCATCAGCATTAATCACAACTGAAAACAGTATTCAAAAACATAATATAAATCAAACTTACCTATTAACAATTTTATGCACCTCTATCCTGTTCCTACTAGTGGAAGGCACAGGACTGGAAGATGTTGATGAAAGTGGAGTGGACTTTTCTGATGTTGAATCTAAAAATGTAAAAAGATAAATATTGTAAAAAAGAAATCTTAAGACAAAAACTAATTACTAATGTTGTCAAATAGGACATTTTTACTTCAGGATGTATTCTTCTTTCATTTCAGTCTCATTGAAATCTCGTTCTGGAATTATTTCCAAAACATGTGATACAAGTGGAAAATATCAATGAATTTAAAAAATGTTATAATCAAACTTAATTCTGTGAAAAAATTGTGTATTTACAATGAATAGTTTTTGAGTAATCAATTTTTCAAATTTTATTACCAATCAAGTCAGTCTTTTTAGCCAAAATTGTGAGAAAATGGGTGAGGGGTACAAGAAATGATTTACCAGAAACATGTACATCCCGTATCACTTTTTTCTTTTCAAATTTCTTAGATATGTATTTTTTCAATCATTTATAACAAAGAAGTTGAAATAATATGCATTTTGTTCCTTAAACAGAGAAAAATCACAAATTTACAAAATTGACAGCATGGTAAATTTAAAAAAAAAAAAGCATCAAAATATGATAAAACTTTCTTATATTAACACCTACCTATAGTTTTTTTAAGTTAAATTTATTCCGATTGGTCCACTTCATCTTTATTGAAAGTATGAAAAAAAGTTTAATTGTGGAACTGTGATTTGTTTCACGAAAATGGCCCAAAAACAGGTAAAAATTGATGAAAAATGGGAAAATCGTCAAAATTGGGTACTTTCAAAGGGCCGTAACAAAAAAAGAAGTGCACCACCATATGATTTTTTCTTCACCAATTATTTTTTTACAGTCATAGAAACCCCAAAATCAGGTTAAGAAAAAAAGTTTAATTCTAGAAATTTTTGGCTCCTCAGAGGTGTACATCCTTAACTGCCTAATCAGATAATCTTTCAATGGATTAACCAGTTAACCAGTATTAATGATGACGTTCTACAATACTTTACAAATGCGTATCATTAATTTTGATAAGATTGCAATTGTTCAAAGTGTATTTATTTTACACATAGTTTAAATTATGTTTACTTCATATTTTGCCTAATCTGATTAGTACAGATCCTATGTCCAAGCTTTGCTTACAAGGATCTAAAAATACCCTGTTCTATTTTCTGTTTTAAAGACCTTTTGGAATCCTTTGGTTTTGTTTGATTAATACACAACTTCAAAAAATTTGAAGGCTGAATAATTACCAGAACAGAAAGTAAAACAGAGTGTTATCAGGAAGATATGATACCTCAATGGGTCACTAAGAGCTGATCAGCCTTTGATTTCAGGAAGATATGATACCTCAATAGGTCACTAAGAACTGATCAGCCTTTGATTATGACTAAATGTTTAACTAAATTTTTGTTAAAAAGTAGCAAATAACTGTTTTTTATTTGACATTGTCAGGGACTAATACCTTGTTTCTCAACTCCATGCAAACACACTACAAGGAGGCCACCAATGAGAATAAATATGTAAATTGTCTTGAAGAATTCCCTCCCTTTATTAAACATACCTGAAGACTGAGATTCTATTTCTTCTTTAGTTCTGGAATCCTCAACCTTGACCATGACAGTGTCTTCTGTGTAATAATCTCGACCAATCAGATTCCTCAGCACCAGGTTATAAATAATAAATTCATTGTCTTTTTGTAACAGCATATCAAATAACTTCAGACTGGCTAAACTTAACTGAAATATACAACAAATTATTAAATTGACTTTCTTCAATGATTTTTTTCTTATAAAAAATCGTTCTGGCAATCATTACATAATATAAATGGTTCCTTGATAATATTTAAAAAAAAATGTAAATTACACCTGAATATGATTTTACATTAAAACAAAACTTTGTTATTTTTTTTCAGAAATAATATTCAGAACTATAATAATTTGACTTTTATCACAATGTAGCCTGTGTTGAAAATTAAAACAATTTGCTAGTGTAGTTTGGTTCTCTTGCATCTATGATAATCATAAACACTACCTCAAATCTGCTGGCACATTCCTCATAGAAAATTTAATGAAAAAAATACTACAGATCAGAACTGGACAAAATATGAAAAAATAAAATAATAACTTCGTTTTAAAAATTTTGTTATTCAAGTCTTTGTTATGTGCAAAGTGATATTGTTTTGAAACATTAATAAGTCAACTAAATTAGTAATGCTATTGTGAAAGGAAAATCTGATTAAGATAGACACCCGTAACATAAGATATGACTACAAATCATATAAAAAGCATTTAAATTTAATTTGGTTTTATAACTTGCTTTCAAAACAGAGTATGTGTTAAGACACTTTGAAGCTTTTTAAATACAAAAAAAAAATATTCTTAAAAGCTAACCTCTTCTGAAAGATGATCACATCTGTCTATCAAACGCCTTCTTACTCTCCATTTATCAGTTCCTTCTACTTCTGGAAGCATGTCATCTCCCAAAATAAATTTACAAAACTCTACAAATAAAATTAGCTATCAATATCAATGCATCAAAGACCCATGTGTTGAAGACCCACTGGTGCCCTCGGGCTGTTTTCTGCTCTTTGGTCAGGGGTTGTTGTCTCTTTGACGCATTCCCTGTTTCCATTCTTTCTCAATTTTATCTTAATTTAAATACTTGACAGCACACAGGTGAAACATTGCTTTTGAACATTTTCAAATGTAAAAGTATATATTTTTTTTTTATCAAAATAAATTTCCAGGGAGTTTTCTTGTTTTATGATACATAATAGATTATAAATGATAAAAGCATAATTCTTACTAAAAAGAAATGATTTGGAATGTTCTTGTCAATTTTCCATAACAAACTCATAACATTTATATCTACACAACTTTTGTAACAAATTAAAAAAGGGTGTAGTTGAACCAAATTCTATACAGACTTGTATGCAGAATTTAACAAAACCACAAAATAAAGTATCACACAAATTCATTTTTCATTGATCAACAAAAATTGGTACCCACTTCAATAAATGTATCCAGAGTATACACTTCAACACACATAAATTTTAGGAGAGCTTTGTGAAACAGTCCAACGTCAATGATGACAAGTGAAAGACACATTCAAAATAACAATCTTCCCGTAAACAACTTTTCTACAACATTCACCCCCAATAAAAACATGCAAAGTATAAGAAGGCAGTTTTAAATGCATACCTGCCAATAAGGGGTGTGAACATACTGTCCGCAGACATCTTGTAAGGTAGGCAGTTGCTAGAACAGCTCCAGTTTCTGAGGTCTGTAGCAGTGATGGTTCCATAATAACATCTAGGAATGTCTCTCGTATTGATTTTGACAAAGCTTTGGCTACGTAGGGATTAGCTACACCAATCAGTTGATCACAATAATCTAGCCATGAGAGGAAGGATATCAGATGGCGTTTCCCTAAAAATGATTGTTGGTCTTCACTTTCTGTAATAATGTCTAACCTGTAAAACAAAGGTTTTCATCAACTTCAAATGAATTGATAAGTATTTTCATCTAAACTAGAATATGTGTCAAAAAGACACCATACCCTGCTTGCACTATCCTATGTCCACGTTCAGTGAAGCATGGAATCAGGGTCAAAATTGTTAATTGTCATATAATTTAAAAAATTTAACTATAACAATGAACATGTGTTTAAAGTTTCAAGTTAATGTTACCAGAACTTCATGAAAACCACCTCAACTAAAAACTAAAACCTGTTACCGGACAGTATAATGGACACACACAGGAACAGACCAGAAAACATAATGCCCCTCTACTATCATAGGCAGGACAAAACAAAATATTATTTTAATGTTTATTTCGACCTATCGCTTTCTTGAAATCATGCAATTAACCCATACAATTCATGGATTTACTATCCATGTTGGCCTATACCAGAATTTAGTGCCAGCATAGAAAAAGTGAAATACTAGAATTGTGTTCCTGTAACTATTTATTTACATAAATGCATTAAAATTACATACCCCCATTTTGCTTCCACCATGTCTAATTCACTTGGATGGACATTTGATGGAAGTTTGAGGTAAGATTCTATCAAACGCTGACTGAGTTGTGTACAAAATTCTGTGTCATTCACCATGGTAACAGCAGCATTTTGTTCTGGAAGACTGGCACATAACATCAAACCTTCACACGATTTCACAGCTACTCGACTATCCTATAATTAAATAGCAAGCATTCTTAATTATCTTAGTGGAAATTTTTTTAATTATATTTCTGTATTTCCAAAAGCAAACTTTATAGTTTAAATTATACTGTTGCTGTTTAACCACAATTTCTAATATTTTTGGGATGTTTTATGATGCCTTTGAATCTCTGACAATTTTTAGATGATTGATCAAGCAGATAATTGCATTTGATGAATACATTTTACCAAAGACAAATAATGGTTTTACAGAACTAACTAGATATCATTGAGATGGGAGCCATCTCTGTGGTCCCGCTGTGAATAATGTGTGTTAAAAAATTTGTATCTTTATCATTGGACATGGGGTTGTCCACTGAAACCAAAGTTTTTGACCTTGACCTTTGACCTAGGAAGTTGTACAAAAATTATGACACACCCTCTGGTGTTAGTTAATATACATGTCAAGTATAAACTTTGAAATCATAACGGTTCTCTAGATATAGAGCGGACACAATTTGTTAAGGACGGACGGACGGACAGCAGACGGACGGACAGACTGATCACTAAAGGGCGTCCGCCATTCGGCGGGGCCCTAATAAAACACCATTATAATAAGTAAATATAAGTACACATGTAATTAAAAACAAAATAAACTGAATTGATACCCTTTTAGGGTCTAAGGACAAAATTGAATACTTACATCTGTGACAAAGTGTTTCCTTAAGTATATAATAGACAGAATTAGATATGAATATGAAAAAAGCTTTGAACATTTAACAGTTACTCAAGATCTCTCATGACAAGAACCTTGACTAAGTTGACCACATATATTGGGTCTCTTCTAATTATTGAGGTTTGCCTGTATTATCTAATATTATTTTTAACTCACAGCACTGTTAGATAAGGCAAGTAATGATTGAACTAAACTAAAATCACTTTTTGGCACTGGATCACTAGAATCTGTACTTGGTTTGTCTTTTGGCACCTACAATAAACAATCAATCAAATTATAAAAAGAAACTATAGAGTAATCATGATACACTTCAACAAACGCCTGCTTTTCAGGTTTTAGTCTTAATTTAGCAGAGTATTCACTTCAACAAAAACCTGCTTTTCAGGTTTTAGTCTTAATTTAGCAGAGTATTCACTTCAACAAAAGCCTGCTTTTCAGGTTTTAGTCTTAATTTAGCAAAGTATTCACTTCAACAAAAGCCTGCTTTTCAGGTTTTAGTCTTAATCTAGCAGAGTATTGTTAATTCTAAATCTGTAAGTTTTATGCATATAACAAGTCACGATAAAAGTTGACTGGTTGAATGCTCATGACTCAGGGTCGAAAATTTTTAAATCTAACTATACTGTTTTCACCGATTGTTGAAAGCGGTATGGTGACTTACAGGTACTTACATCTTCTTCATTTGGTCTATGACGGATAGTTGTTTCAATGGCAATCATACCACATCTTCTTATTTTCATTTGGTAGTGTGTATTCTTTTTCATATTTATATCAACATGACACTTTAGTTGTCTGCTGTTTGTTTTATCAGTGATGACATATTACTAGTTTTAGCCAAATTAACAAATTCTATGCATTTGTATGGTCTATCTCCTTCTGAAAATCAATGTTCGACCAAAATCAAATTGTTTAAAAAGATGTATATGGGTCAGATACACATCCTTACAAAAAATGATGGGGATTCTTGTATGTGGCCAATGTTGTTTGAAGCATAAACTTATAAAATTTAGGCAGAATTTTTGTCAAATTAAGATTTTCTTTATTAGAGTGCACAATTATAATTGTACTAATGCATCAGAGCTTGCTGAATTTGTATTTGTCATACATTTTTACATATTGTCATCAAAGTTTTATTTTTATTACTTAAATTAAATTTCACTGAATTCTAGGGCCAATATGGACCATTTGTGAACTTTTTGCTCCTAAACATAATATGACATAATCAATCTTATCTGTATATAAAAATGTTTTGGGATAAAATAGAAAATATACAACAACAAAAAACATGCAAAAGATTTATTTCTAGAGAAACTATCAGTGATATCTCCAAATATAGGTTGCTTATAAAATATTCATAATTTATGAGGGATTTTGTAAGAATTATAGGAATTAATTGCAGTCATTACTGCATTTATGACAAGCACACAGACATCTTCCCTAATATTTACCTCTATAAAAAAATTGACTAGATATGGATCTGTTTTAACGATTGCACACACAGTACATAAAAACTGGATTTCTTCCGTCTCAGATGGACCAGCTTTTACTTCACCACAGGACTTAATCAATCTCTGTAAAAAAAATAATCATGAATAAATCAGGCTAAAAAAGTATTCTCATTAGAATAACGAGATAATGAATATATCAGGTTAAAAAAGAAATATTGCTACTGGAATAACTGGATGCGTTAAAATCTATGTAATAAAAATAAGGTATAAGGGGCACATATATATACCAAAGGTACTCTCATAATCTCATTGCTAATTTGAACTGAATACATGTATACTCTCATATTTACAAATAAAAGTGACTAATCAATATATGTTATGTAAGAATCTTATTGTAACAAAATAAAATTGCATTGTAAAAGATATTATCTCACATGAATGATATCTAATCTTAAGCAACATTCATGTAAAATAAATCTTCAAAGACTCAAATATTATTATGTTGCAAGACATATTCCATACCTCAATGATAATATGTTGTATTAGGGTACCTGCAGACAAGGCCCCAAACAATAACATTTTGATATGTTTTTCATTTGGAAATCCAACATAAACCCCAATGCTACTTTAATAAAGAGGAAATCATAGATCAGATTACCTTGGGAGTTTTAATCGTTTTCCTTGTGTGATGTTTGTGGACTTCTGTTTTTGTCTTTTTTCTTTTGTTCACTTTGGTGTTGTGTCTCTTTTTATTATAGAATTTTAACTTCCCCATCCTTTTTTTAGTATCATAATCATTATTACTTACATGAACAGCTCTGTGAACACTAATGTTTGGTAGCAATGGTTGCTTCAGTCTGGATAATAATTTAGTGAAGAAAGACAGTACAAGCTGTTTCATTCCTGGAGGATGCTACAAAAAATTCAAATGCTACATTGGTATAAACTCTTCAAAGTTCAATTACTTTAATAAGCAACACACACATATGTGTGATTTCATATAAAACCCAAAACCTAATTTGTTGTTTTTCAATTTTTTAAACCCTACACTGGTAGTGATTCATTTGGGCGCCTACAACACCTGTATGTTGTACAGTTCGATGTCCTAGGTAGCCCAAATAGAGGGCATAGATCCCCTCTGTCCTATGCATTTTTTGTTTGGGAGGGAACTAAATAATTTTCAATGCAAAAAAATCTATTCAACTTTTGTAAAAGCTTTTTACAACAAAAAATTACATTAATTTCAATGTTCAATTGTTTTGATTCTTTATCTATAAACATGACCAAGTTGTAACTTTTTCAAACAAGAAAAGGGTCAACCTGACATCCATCTTAAACTTTACTCATGAAAATAATAACTAGAACATGCAGTCAATGCATTAATGTTAAACAAATTAAGCTCAAATAAAAAAGTGTCAACTTCTACATTACAGTCAACTTAAATATGTAATCCATCACACAAAAAAAAAAAGAATATGCATATATATTACATGCAGCTTCCTAAGATTAGATAATTATTCAAGAATTGTTTAACACCATAACTTACATCAGTTCTTCCAAGAGAATATAATGTTTCTAACAACTTATGCTGTAAAAGGTACTCCATACAAGGTCCTGTGCCCCCTCTTTCTACACTAGACTCTTCCTCTTGTAATAAAACAATCATCTGGTCCAAGTGAGAAGAAAGACTAGTCTGTTCTACATTTATTCTGTCACCTTAGAAACAAATAGTTCAAATTGAGTGGTAAATATTTTATGAATATTAAAAACACAAGAGAAAAATTGTATTTTAAAAACATATATTGCTAATTAATATATATGAACACAATATTTTATGTTCATCAACAAAAAGTTGTGTACATTGCTAAAGGGAAAGTATACATATTATTTAAAATGTTCATGGGGTACAAGTTCTCATGAATAAAATTATAATGTTAAAATCCTCAAAAATTGAAAATATAACACTGATTTATGATAAGTATTTTTAGTATTAGCATGATTAGATTGCAAAACCTACAAGCACACACATTTTTCACAATAAAATAAGTATGAGCTCATAAATAAAAGTAGCTTTTTGTTAATTGAATATTACTGGAACAATGCTGCAAGTTTACATATGTTCTTTTATCAGTTAAATACAAAACAATTGAAGAACTTTTTTTTAAATATTTTGCTGTGAATACTCTTTTGGTCATAAAAAAGTCTTCTGTCCAAATTTCGTTAAATTCCATTTAGATTTGACAAAATTTTGATGTCTAAAAAAAATATAACCACAGACTGATCCTAAATGTTGAAGCCGATGATAAAAATGAAGCAACATGGTTCCATAAGGTTCTAGGGAGAACCACTGTGCAGGTTTTTTTCTATTGAGTATTTACTTTCATGACTTTAACAACAAGCCTAGATAGACAAAGGGAAAGCTTTGTGCACATCTACATGTAAAACTTGTCAAATTAAACCACAACATATTGTTTACTTGTACAAAGTCAGGCTATCTGAACCCTTTAAAGTTTGTTGTCATTTGTAATTTTTTCAGGATCCAGATTTTGGTTGTTGATGTGGTCTGGTGTACTGTATTTTGGTGATTTCTTGTTTCCTCAAATATAAAACCTTTTGCACATTTACTCCTTTTTATAAAATCACCTTTGCTATCCATAAAGAATTCTGTTACAGATTTCCAATGATACATAAATTCTTCCTGCAAAGTCAGTTGAGGCGTTAACTGAAATAGATAATATACAGATTACGAGAACACATTTGGACAAAGACACTTAATTATACTTCAAGGTTTTCGATGATCATGATGATTAAATAATCCTAAATAGAGCAAGTTTAAGAAAGCCCTAATCCTGTCCTTGATTTAAAATCTAAATAGTCATATTTGAAACTATCCATACATGAATATGCATACTCTATAGCTTCATGCAAATATTTTTCTTTAATTGTTATACCTTTGGCTAATAAACTGCATTATTCTCAATTCTAAATGGTAAGTAGATTTAGCAATGTTTAGTATTATGATTGTAAATTTTTCAAATCAGCACGTTTACTTTAATTATAAAAGTTATCAATTATTTTACAACTAAATGTCACTAAATATTGCTTAAAATTCATGGGCGTATTATATATTAGCTAGAAATTGTACTTAAATACTTTTGATTCCCGTCATCTTAAACCAGGGTCTGCAAAGTTTTAAATGAGCGGGTACATGTGCTTTTTAATTAATGGTAAACACATTAGTATTCTGAAATTGTGAAAACAATTTCAAACAACAAAGAAATATTGTTAATAAATAGTAATTTTCCTTAATATATTATGTTACATATAATTAATTGTTTAATACTCTTAAAGGGACTACAATTTAGACAAAAATATAAAATATGATTCGTTTTGATACAAGTATTAATAAAAGTGGAATTTTGAAATAATATTTCTTTACAGTCAGTTTGGCCCAAATTTGTCAAGATAAGCTCAAAAACATTGCTTATGTACATGTTTGTATTACTCACTTGCACGTCAATAATTTAACCTCTTTGAAGCCGTATTTATATGACCTTGTTATCTTTGAAAATCATGTTGCGCATTAAAACCCCCATGGGAATTTTCAAAAGTTGGCAGGTACATGTATGCAATTGAATAAGTATTTTAGAAAGATTGTTAAGTATAAACTTATTTAACTTATGCTTTTGGGGAAACTTTTCCCATTTGTCTACATCCATATATTTCTTAGACCAATACTTTTTCAGACTTGTACACTTTACATGTATATTAATAAGAGTCTCAAATAAATGAACTGAAATGTCATACATATCTTCCAAGTATTGCATTTTTTATATATCACTGAACGCTATTAAAAATTCAGGTCAGTATTTCATATAACCAGGTAAAACCAATTTAAACCTGGGTTTCCCAGCATTTCCCACTGGCTGGACAATTTCATTAAAACCTAGGTTTTTTGCCAACCCTGATCTTAACCAATGTGTATTTAATTGTTTGTTTTAATAATGTCAGTTAAAATATTCTGATAACAATTCAAATCATGGCAGGATGTTGTCAAACTCCCTAACCATGCTAACCTGATGATAAAATTTTAAGGTAAAGTGATGGATAAATATTATTTCTCCAGTAGAAGTTATTTACTGAATGGGCAAATCAGAAAAGCGCTCCAGACACAGAATCACAAAAAGGATAAGCATATATGTATGTAATTACGTGGTTGATTTGATAGACAACAACTTTAGAAAAGAGTGCACACACTGAAATGTCTCGCCTGTCTTACTTATCATTGAATTTATGTTGAAAGTCTGTAACATGAAGGTTTTATTACAAGTATCACATAAACTTAACATTATTAATGTTCTATGATAATGAGGTCATGGTCAGATGAACCAGGCCAGACAGACATGTACACCTTACAATCATTCCATACACCAAATATAATTGACCTGTTGCTTATACATGTAGTATCTATCTGATAAACTGACAAAATTACGAAAACTTATCATTGACCAATGAACCATGAAAATGAGGTCAAGGACAGATAATACCTGTCAGACAGACATGTACACCTTATAATTGTCCCATACACCAAACATAGTTGACCTATTGCTATTAGTAAAAATGTATTTGGAAAACCAACCAAAACACAAAAACCTAAAATTGACCAACTAACCAGGAAAATGAGGTCAAGGTCAGATGAAACCTGCCAGACTGACATATACCCCTTATGGTCCTACTAAAAAGCGCCCGGGAAAAGAAAAAGCGCCTGGGGAAGAAAAAAGAGCGCCTGGGGAAGAAAAAAGAGCGCCTGGGGAAGAAAAAAAAGCGCCTGGGAGAATAAAATAATAATATTCTATAACAATAAATGTTTTCCTGAATAAAAAAAAAAAAATCATTGCTTGTTTTGTCCTTAATACAGTGGTCTCGTTAGCAATAGAAGGGCGCAGCGCCCTGGGTGCCCTCAGCCGCGCCCTGGGTGCCTCCCTCCGCGCCCTTCTGCCCTGACGCCTTTTCCCCAAAAAAACCCTTGTGCCGTTTTGGTAAAATTGCCTTTTGTTTCATCGATTTCTTATCACAAAGTTAAATTACATATATGACACCAGGTGATTGCCCCCAGGTTAATCATGTCATTACAATCATTTACAGTGGATAAGACTTCAAAGGTGTTAATAACTAGGTAATTTAATTAAGACAATGTACCTTTTTGTCATAAATTTGATGAATGTGTCAGCGGGTGTTTTTAGCTTGGGTCGGCATTTTCGATCTCCAAGAAGAGTGTATAAATGAAGACTTTCAAGACTTTAGAATAGAATTTAAGTCATCAAAATACAACTATGCCTTCACAGAAACCCCGTCCATCCCAACTTGTGAGCGACAAGCAAACAGTAAACCAGGGGAATATACATGTTGAAAATTAATTTTGGAGTTACTTCCCCTGTTTTAGCTTATTACAAATTTGTGCTCCTAAAATATTATCTAGTAATAAAAATAGGAATAAATAACCAATTGAATACAAAATTATATAAGAATGTTACGTTAAGGATATTAACTGTCTTTGAACATACCAAAAAAAATATATTGCAATTTATTTTTGATAATCATACTTTTAGCAATCCATGTTCTATACATTGTCAATTAAGAAATTTGTAATTACAATTGATATAATGATGTTAAGCTGCAATCTTACATCAATGGGTAGTTTGAAGTCAAACTATCATAACATCAACTTGATGAAGCTTTCCTAAATCATTCCTTAACACAAACATTGAAAAAAAGTTTAGAGGGCCAAACTCTAGCTGAAAATTTTGAAATAAGACAACTCTGTCACATGTATGCTAAACTATGAGATGTTTAGTTTATGTTGTTTTTTTTTTGGAAAAGGGGAGGGGGGGGGGGGGGGGGAGAATAGTAAGTTAATTTGCCTCTATTGGTTTATAGTGATGTGATGTATGAATGTGTATTGACATGTTTTATGAACATGTCGTATGAATTACATTTTCTAATGCAAATTCTATAGAATAAATAATCAAAACAACAACTTATGCATCTTTATTAACAACAAATACAGTAAAAAAAAAGAATGTGAACTCGTGATACACACAGAAACGTAGACAAAAGAAATGAACAGTGCCTTTTCCTTTCATAAAAAAGTGCCCTGCCCTCCACTGGCACTCTGCCCCTTTTGATTTCTAGCTGGAGCACTGTTAATATAAATGGGGATATGTACGATGCTACATCTAAAGTGTGTAGATAGTGTTGTTGCACTTTTACATTTTAGATTTCAAAATTGTATATAAGTAAGTAAGTAAATTTAAACAAGAGTATAAAGAAGAATCATGAACAATATTGTCCTCGATCAAAACGTATATGTCGTTATTTAAAAAAAAACCATAACTTAATAAGAAAGGTTTCAAACACTCCAGTGCCAATCATGCTTGGGCCATGCTACCTCCACTGGGACGGTAGCTTCCACACTTACCACCGATTTTTTAGCCACCTCCAGTGCTTTTTGGACGATATTCCTGGAATACAGATTAGTGGCAAAAGCCTTTTTTTTTGGCTCGGACGAGGAAAAGGCTTTGATGAAAGCAATACACAAGTGCTTTCCAGATTCCCAGCAAATTCTTTGCACACGTCACATTGAGGAAAATTTTAAGAGACATTTGCGGGAAGTCATTGGAGAAAAAGACCCAAATAACAACACTGTGCTCAACAATATTTTTAGGGTAGATGGTCTCCTCTCTTCTCAAGATGATGTTGAGTTTGACCTAAAGGTAATGGAGTTGGAAGCGAAGTATGAGCACAGTGTTCCCGCGTTTCAACGTTATTTTTGCAGTAATACATCATCTCTAAAGAGCTATGTCTGGGAACCAACACAAAAAGATTTTGCCCCAATTAACTGGAAGAACAATTCATTCGAATCCATGAATATTATTTTAAAACTATCAACGAATTTTATCTTTCTTAAATAATGTGTAACTCTTTTAATTTTATAAAATTAATATTTATCTGTGAAATTTAAGTTGTTTTTGAATTTTTCATTTTGATATTGTTTTTGAAAAACATGTCTTTTGATGTCTAACATTTTATAAATCTTCAGCATAAACTGTGATCCATTATTGTCTGTCTTTCGAAATAGTATTCATATATAATTGTTAAAATTGAAACATTCATACTTGTTTTTGTGCTTTATTACAAATGCCTATTATCTGAATTTGCAAAATACTTGTCTAAAATTAAAAAAAATAAAATGCTCCCCAATGGGCGCAGCTTGATACGACCGCAGAGGTCGAACCCTGAACAGTTGGGGCAAGTATGGACACAACATTCAAGCTTGATACAGCACTGAATTTGGATTGTGGTTAAATATTTGACACAGCATAGGTTTCTGACACAGAATGAATGTGGTCTAAGAACTTAAAATTTTTTAATTTACCTATTCAAACCATATCATTATTATTTGCTTTTATATATAAATCAGAAATGACCAATTTAAAATGGAAAATTTTAAAGAAAAAAAAAAGGAAAAAAAGGAAAAAAAAAATCCCTCCCCCAAATTTTTTGAACCCCCTTATGATTCATCAACCCCAAACTCAATCCCAGCCTTCCATTTGTGGTATGGTACCTTGCAGTACAATTTCAGAGAGATCTAACACTTGAACACAAGTTATTGTCTGGAAACTAGAAAAATGCTTGTTTTTTGCCCCTTTTTGGCCCCAAATT